CCCCCCGCCACCTCAAGGGCCGCGAGATCGGGCTGTGGTACGCGCGGAAGCAGGGCCAGAAGAGCAAGGAGACGGACCGGCAGCAGGTGAGGGGCGGCCGCGGGCTCTGCCCCGCCGGACCGCTTCGGGGACGGGGGTCCCGCGTCTGTGGGGGGGCGTGGGCGTCAGAGACCCCTACTTCGTGAAATGTTTTGCCTGGCAGGATGAAAAAGAGGTGTTCGCCTCCGCGCCTTGAAACGCCTCGTCAGGAGCAACTTAAAAAGAAGTTTCTGATCGTGCCGAAGAGTCTCGCTAGTTTGATACCTAAGTAAGACGTGCTGAGTACACGGTGGTGAAAATTGTACTTTTTTTTTTTTTACCAGAGAGCCGTTGTGCGTATGGATGAACGCAGGGAAGAGCAAATTGTGCAGCTGTTGAATACGGTCCAAACTAAAAATGAAAAGGAGCAAGAAGCCATGTCCTGGTGGTCTGGGGATGAAGAAGGGTAAAGAGAAACAATTACTAATCCTTTTATTTACTTGAATGGAACAGAATTCCCACAAACTGGTAGGAAGATGTATCAGAAAATATTTACGTTTAGCGAGTGAATTAGGTTAACAGATATACTCAGTTTTCTCGACATGTATTGTCATACTGAAATGGTTGTAACCACTGCTGTAAAACTTTTTTGCAGGTTATTGTTGAGTTTGGGCTGTTAAATTTTTACTTAAAATCATAAAATCCTGTAATTGATCTCCAGGCCTACTAGAGTAGATATATGGAATTTTTCAGCTCCCCTGGCCTCTGGAATTATTATTCCAGAGTGGCATTTGACTTTGTTTTTCAGTTATTCTGCACTCGTAGAATGTTTTCTTGGCCTCTGTGAAATAGCACCTGTTCTTAACACTTAAGGGATTTTAAGTAATAGCAGTGAAATGGGCTGCCAGGTGTGTTACTCTGAGTCCACTGAAATGAAGTGTTTGGGTCTCCATTTTGCTGAATGATCCAATTACAGGGCAGTGGTTCTGACAGCCGGTTAAGGAGTAGTTCGCTGGAGAGGTTTTATTGCTTTGTTAGTTTTGTTTTGATACAAAAGAGCATGTTACGTTTCTAGATATGGATGTAAAATTTTTGATGGCTGGTGGTTCTCAGACTTTAATTGTTTTAATGGCGTATGCCATATTCTCATTGGCTGATGGTCAAGTAACTCGTGGATGTAACATCTCAAAAACAGATTTAAGGTTTGCCTTGAATGGTTCAGTGTACTCTTTGCAGCGGCCAAGCACATCTTGGATAATCTTTGAAGTTTCTGTTCTCTGCACTTATTTCAGACCTACTCCAGAACAGCCTGCAAAAGTGAAAACAGATACTGAAAAAGCTCCTGTAAGACAGAGGCCAGTCTTGGAAAAAACATTTCTTGATCGGGATGTGGAATATCTCTTTGAAAAAAATGAGCAAGATACTGATTTAGATGAGCAACTTAAAGAAGACCTAAGAAAGAAGAAATCTGATCCTAGATATATTGAAATGCAGGTACTTTTTCACATGTTAAGTAGAAAGCTTTTAATTGGATTTTATCTTTTCAGGTTAGTTTAATTTAAAAAAAACAAAACATAACTTCCTGCAATTTATTTACTAGGAAGTTGTCATGACGTTACTTTTGCTAAAAACTACCTTCAGAATTTACAAAATGCATACCTATCAATAGGAGAGCGATTAAAAAACAGACTTTCAGTGGCAATTTCTGGTTGCATAAAATCTAAAATTTTAAGCTTACGCATTGTTTAGTTGGCTGGGTTTTTCCATTTGTTCTTTAATGGGTTGTATCCCTGTATTTGTCTAAAACTGAAAGCACAAAAATGGGCTCTTAAGGAATTGCCTCTTAAAAACGTAGTTTATGTTGTTCTAATAGCCCTATATAAAGTTGTCAAATAAAATAGCCTTACCATGATCAGGCAGTTCTCCCTTTGATGCAAGGCCCTAGTCTTACAACTGTATGCACGTACATTTTCATGTACTGACCTGTTGGGTTTAAATATTTTTGCTCAATTTAATGAAACTGAAAACATTCATGGAATTAAACTTATTTCTAGTGGACCTGTGTTTATATAAGTATTAGCTGAACGGTTTGTCCTGTTATTTCTCAGTTTAGCCTAAATCACAGATGAAATCTGTTATATTACTTAGTGTTGAAAAGGTGTTTAAAGATACGTACTATTACTTTCTTTTTTCCCAGAGATTCCGAGAGAAACTCCCTTCATACGGGATGAGACAGGTAAATGTGTATTTAATTTGAAAGAATATGTGTTTCTGTTGCTCCGTTGTAAAATAGGAGAAAACAGATGTGTAACTGGGACTAGGTGGAAATCTTTGTTGCCTTTTATGAAGGTGCTGAAGCCTCCCAAGTTCTGATGCTGAGTTTGACTTCTTTCCAGAAGGTAGCTCAGCTTTACTGCTTCATATGGACAGTTACTCTGGGGCTATATCCAGTTTTATCAGTAGGGGCAGCATTATTCATGGAAATGGTTTTGAATGCTAGATATGTTTAAGTAATATTTTTTTTTTTAAGTATAGGTCTTTTCTTCTTTCTCTGCCAGTTAAACTTCTATATTGTTCCTAGTTACTTGGATTTTATATAGAGTAATTGACCACTACATAAATTGTCATGCTTTCTTATAGATATAAAATTGTGGACGTTTGTTGAATGCTCGCCCAATTTAGAATTTAATACAATGCAGATTAAACATTTTTCTTTTTTAATCACAGACTTTATGGCTGTACTCCTGGCCATTACTGCCATTAATTTCCCAGTCAGAATATAAAGTCAATGATAGCATGGGTTATTATTAATTGATGTTAATTCTTCATTTGATGTCACCTGTATGAATCAGATATTACGAGTATTCTGTTATGTTTTCTTTTACGGGTTTAGTGAATCATTAACGAGCTTCCTTTCTAAAGTTAATGTATTTGTAATAATGTCATCCCTCCTGTTAGTGTTTGTTTCTCAAAATAGTTATAATCCCTTTTACAATCCTTTGGATTGGGAGGTGGAGGCTGGAAGTATAAGAAATCTGTTCCTGTCTGTATAAGAAATGTTAAAATATTGTGCTGAAAATCTTCAGTTAGTATAGTCTTAGAGTCCAAAAGGGAAGATGCTTGTTTTCAGTCACCAAAGATATACAGAAGGCAAGTAGGAAGGAGAAAAGTTTAACAATGTATTTCAGGCTTTTGTTTTATTTTATGTTATTTTCATGCTGGATCTTAAGTATTTAAAACTAGTATTCAGAATTGATATGCTTTAAACCTTACACATATGAAGTGCAAATGTGCAGAAATTACTTCTGTGTGGTTTAAACTAAACTTTTTTTTTTAGTATTACGAGAAACAGATGAATATCTGTTTCTTTAGTTGCTATGACGCTTTCTTCTAAGTTCACTGCACAGTAGCAGAGAATTGTCAACATCCTCCTAAAATCTGTTTTGAACAATAATACAATAAATGTTTGTTCTTTGTTTGGAAACAGGAACTTGTAAACCTTATAAACAATAATCGAGTAACTGTGATAAGTGGTGAAACTGGTTGTGGAAAGACAACCCAAGTTACACAGTTCATCTTGGATGATTACATAGAGCGAGGGAAAGGGTCTATGTGCAGGATTGTTTGTACTCAGCCTAGGAGGATCAGTGCTATTTCGGTAAGTGCCATTTTTGACAAACTGAGTAACTTATTTCTTGTGTGTTTTTTGTTTTTTTTTGTTTTCCCAATAAATCAGAGGAAAAATTACTGCCTTACTCAGAATCATTGAAGGAAAATATATTTCTTAGTGGGCCTAGGATCCATGGGCAAGCTTATGGGTGTACAACTGAGTGTACAATCTGCTAGATTATTTGAAGTTAAGATCTTGAAGAAATTCCAAATGACCAGATAGGTACTGTGCATCTCTCAAAGAAACTGCTCTGCTGTCACACGTCCTGATACTAAATTTAAAGCTCAAGAGAAGCATTCAGCTTGTAGTGGACAGTGAAGATGGCTTTTTGTGTGTTTGTTTTCAGCCGTCTTAGATTCTGTTGTAAATAACAATTTTGTTAATATATACTAATTAGATATTTCATTTTGTCATTAATAGAGTACTGGCACTGCAAGCCTCATTCTTCCCTGAATTTAATCATGGTATATATCTGTGGTTTTAATGGATTTGGGGAGTGCAAATGTGAGTTAAGGTAAACACTAATGTTGTGTCAGGCCCTTTAGAGGTATATTAATGAGCAAGAAAGAATTTGGCTTTTAAGTGCACAGTAATTATTCTTCTTGATAGTTAAGTGTCAAATGATTATAGAACCTTACTTCCCATGACAAAAAGCTCACCGTGCTGAAAGGATGAGTGTGTTGCTAATGCTTAACTGGTTGTGTTCCTTTAAAATATGTCCTGGGTTGCAAACTTATGCTTGGGTTGCTGATGGGAAACATGGTCCTCAGTGGAGGAGAAAAAGTGATTTTTCAGGGTGTTTCTTTCTTGTTTATGTAACATCTTGGGTCTAGGTTATTTCCTGCTGATGAGTAGCTAAGTCATATCTCAGCCTTGTGGGATTTTTAAAAATTTTCTTTAATGCACTATTTTGATTTCATTTATTTTCTAAGGTGGCTGAGAGAGTTGCTGCTGAAAGGGCAGAAGCATGTGGTAATGGCAAGAGTACAGGATACCAAATTCGTCTACAGAGGTAAGAGAGGCTTCCTTGGCAGTTTTTGTGGATTTACGTAAAGGAGTATCTTTTGTTGTTCAAGCAAGAAAATTTGAAAAATAGTTCTGAACATAGGTGACTGCTTTCATTCTCATTTTTTTCTCCAAAAGGAATTCCTATGAAGAGCTGGTGTAGGGAATAAGGTTTTTGAAATTTAGCAAAAAGTTTGAGTGTGATTATTGTATTTTATGCAGCGTGTAGCAATGGCTAGCACCAAGTTGTACTTTTAGTAACTCCTTTTTTCAGCTCTTCTAAAAGGCTCTGCTATAGACAGAGATAAAATTGATGTCCCTAATCCATGAATTTCAAGGAAAAATGGAAATGCTAAAGGAGAGAATGCTATAAGCCATATTTCTGTAGAAAACTATGTATTTGCTACACTTAACCTGTTGAGTAATCTCACTGGGATCAGGTAATAAAGTTAGGTGCATTGACAAGAGTTCATAGACCTAGTGCCATAGAGCAAAAGCTATTACATTTGGAGTCATCTGTAATTTAAAAAAAATACCTGAAATGTTACCAGCAAAGAATGGAATCTCAATTATCATTGAAGAAAAACTGCTGGTGAGAGATGACAGCTTAGTCCTTTCAGCATTTTGAGTTTATAGTATCTCATTTATATTTTTCTTTACTGTTTAATCAAGAATGTTATACTGCTGTATATTTAGCTGTCATCTGTGCTGAACTTAAATAGCTGCCAGAGTTTGGGGTCAGCAGATCAACGTGCAAATGACGAAAAATGTCTGGGAAGTCAGGGCTTCTGTCAGATTACAAGCAGTTCATTCCCCATCAACAAAAATGCTGCAACAGTGGCCTAATTCCTTGTTCCTCCAATTGAACTGTAAGTGAGCAAGTTAGAGAATGAGACATACTTCATAATGTCTGTAATGACTATCTGCATTTTGATTTTAAGCTTTTAAAGTACTTTGTAAAATACAGAAGAGAACTGAAGCATTCTTAATGTATCTCTTTCAGTCGGTTACCAAGGAAACAAGGTTCAATTTTATACTGTACCACAGGAATTGTCCTACAGTGGCTCCAGTCAGATAAGTAAGTTTTCTTGTTTAATAAGAAACTGAATACAATTATGAAATTAATTGACTACTGAGCTTTTTCTAATAGTCTCGTCTCTGTTTTTTCAATTTTGCTAAAACCAAATTTTTAACTTCCTGCTCTTCTATTTCAGGCACTTGTCCAGCATTAGTCATGTAGTCCTTGATGAAATTCATGAAAGAAATCTTCAGTCAGATGTCTTAATGAGCATTATTAAAGATCTTTTGAATATTCGTTTGGATTTGAAAGTAATACTAATGAGTGCTACTTTAAATGCAGAGAAGTTTTCGGAGTATTTTGGTAGGTGAAATGCTTCCTGTGAATGTTCCTCTTAAGTGATTTAGGCTTCTGCAGTATAATGTGGCTCTCAGATTTGAGGATTGATTTTTATTAATAGGCATAATGACTTCAATTTTACAAATAGTTGCCAGCTGCTGGAGATGCTTACTCCCTTAGTTTTAGCTCATCATGAGTATGTGTTGCTTCTATATTTGCTTTTCAGACATATCGTGGAAACAGTATCTCCACAGTGTTTTCATATTAAATATTTACTAATATTTACTGTATTTTAGAAGTCTTGGTGTGATTGGGCAACCAGATTGAAGCCTTTAGTTGTTCAGTCTTCCAGCTTTATCCCGTAGCTGGAACCAGATGAACATGCTGCAGAACAATATACTGCTTGCTACCTATGCTTTTTTTATTCAGCAACTTTATTTGGAATTGAATTCGGCATCTTCCGTGAAAATTTCAAAATAAACAAACAGAAAAACCCTATATAGACTTGGCAACTGTATTGCAAAAATAGTGAAGAATGTTTATTGCCTCTATTATTTCAGTACAGTATTTTATTTGCTGTTTAAAAACAGAGTTATGCCTTCCTCGACAGATCATTGTCCAATGATTCACATACCTGGGTTCACTTTCCCTGTGGTGGAGTATCTTCTTGAAGACGTAATTGAGAAGTTGAGGTAAGTGTATTTTCTGAACACCAGTATGGATAGTGTTTTGGGGGTTTTTGCTTAGTATGTCTTTTCAAAGATTATCTTGGTATAAATAACCTGTGGAAGAATTAGCTGTGTTTTTTAGCAGAAGACCTTTCAAGGAAAGGTTAGTACCTTTTACAGTAATTAAAAATGGTGCATAGCTACCTGGAAATGTTGTCTTGAGGAAGAAAAAAACCCTTGTCTGTCTTTTGGAATTTTTAGGGTACTAAACCGAGCTAGTCTTTCTGTTTGTTCAGACTTGTTTTTTTCCTACATGTTCTTATGCTTGCTAGACATGGTACCTGAGATTTCTTTCAGAAAATAAATTTAAGAATCTTATTTACATGGTATAGCTAAAGCATGACATATTGTCCATCGTTTGGAAAACTACTGTGCAGCTGGCTTTAAATTACTTGGTTTCAAAATTTAATTATGTTTGTTATTTAAATTTAAAGGTATACTCCAGAGAACACAGATCGTCGGCCACGGTGGAAGAAAGGCTTCATGCAAGGACATGTAAGCAGACCAGAAAAAGAAGAGAAAGAGGAAATCTACAGGGAACGATGGCCAGACTATTTGAGGCAGCTGCGGGGCAGGTTGTTCTCAAGTTACTCTTTGTGTTAAGTTTTTAGACACTTCTTAACTAAGAAACATAACTTAATGCTGCATTCTATTACTGTGCTTTTATTAATGATGTGATAATTGGTACTGTGGAAAACAGTAATGATGGAGTTGCCAGTACAGTTGGCTGGCAACCACTGAAGCGCTTTAGAGTTGTCATGGAGGATTTGCTTCCTTTGCGTGTGCAAACTGTAAGAGAACTACAGCTGTCAAGTTGCTTCCTATTGATGTTGGTATTGTCCATTACAGTCTTCAGCATAACGTTAGGCTTCTTGAGCTTTGGCCATTAGTTCTCTTCTGATGAATTCTCCCCTTCTTCAGTCTCTTTCTTTGGGAGAGATCTCACAGTATTTTAGTCTCATAGTCAACATAAGACAAAATGTGCTGGTTTTAAAAAAAAAAAAAACCAAACCAAAACAAAAACCAACAAACAAAAACAAACCCACCCAACAAAACAAAAAAAACCCCACCACAGCCTTTTCCTCAGAATATTTTAATATTCCTCTAGAGTGGTTTAAAACCAAGCTAAATAATTTTGCCTTTTGAGCACCTAGTAGAGATTGTCCACTTCAAACATTCTTTTGATTGCCAGCATTTGACTACTTTGGTAATCTGGATAAGTTGATTAATTGGCTAGCCTGGCTGATTTATTTCAAGAATAGCATCTTCCTGTTTTTTCTCCTGTCTTCTTTGTCCTCTGCATTTTGGGATTGTCTATACATCCAGCTTGGTAACAATAATGAATATAGGTGTGTCGTGGTTTAACCCTAGCCAGCAACTAAGGACCATGCAGCTGCTCGCTCATTTCCCCCCCACCCAGTGGGGTGGGGGAGAGAATCAGGAAAAGAAGTAAAGCTCATGGGTTGAGATAAGAATGGTTTAATAGAACAGAAAAGAAGAAACTAATAATGATAACACTAATAAAGTGACAATAGGAATAATAAAAGGATTGGAATATACAAGTGATGCACAATGCAATTGCTCACCACCCGCCGACCGATGCCCAGTTAGTCCAGGAGTGGCGATACCCAGTTTATATACTAAATGTGATGTCACATGGTATGGAATACGCCTTTGGCCAGTTTGGGTCAGCTGTCCTGGCTGTGTCCCCTCCCAACTTCTTGTGCCCCTCCAGCCTTCTTGTTGTCTGGGCATGAGAAGCTGAAAAATCCTTGACTTTAGACTAAACATTACTTAGCAACAACTGAAAGCATCAGTGTTATCAACATTCTTCTCATACCGAACTCAAAACCATAGCACTATACCAGCTGCTAGGAAGACAGTTAACTCTATCCCAGCTGAAACCAGGACAAGGTGGCTCAGTTTTATCTCTCTTTTCTAAGGAGAAAGTCCTCAGTGCTCTACCTCTGGCCTATCCCATGCTCTGCTCATCCCATTTGTACTCCTTCCCTTTCCCACCCTGTCTTTTGAACCAATCGGCAATTCTTTCTATAGTGTTAGCTTTCATGAAACCAAAGGGCTGAACAGGTGAGATGCCTCCTCTGCTCACTGTGAGTGAGAGATTAATTAAAGGGTAAACGCAGCTTGTTTAGGTCCTGGCTAATCCATGAGGAGGAGAGAGATCGTGTAAATACTTCAGATGCAGTTCAGTCATAACATGGTAATTCTTAAACTTGCTATTATCATCAGTTTAGAATAGTATGTTGTGGTTTAACCCCAGCCAGCAACTAAGTACCATGCAGCTGTTCACTCGCCTCCCTCGCAGTGGGATGGGGGACAGTATCAGAAGGGGAAAAGTAAGAAAACTTGTGGGTTGAGATAAAGACAGTTTAATAGGTAAAGCAAAAGCTGCGCACGCAAGCAAAGCAAAACAAGGAATTCATTCACCACTTCCCATGGGCAGGCAGGTGTTCGGCCATCTCCAGGAAAGCAGGGCTCCATCATGTGTGACGGTTACTTGGGAAGACAAACGCCATCACTCTGAACATGTCCCCTCCCTTCCTTTTTCTTCCCCCAGATTTATATACTGAGCATGACGTCATATGGTATGGAAAATCCCTTTGGTCAGTTTGGGTTAGCTGTCCCAGCTGTGTCCCCTCCCAACTTCTTGTGCCCCCTCCAGCCTGCTTGCTGGTGGGGTGAGAAGCAGAAAAGGCCTTGGCTCTGTGTAAGCACTGCTCAGCAATAACTAACACATCCCTGTGTTATCAGCACTGTTTTCAGTAAAAAACATAGCCCCATACTAGCTAGTATGAAGAAAATTAACTCTATCCCAGCCAAAACAAGCACATAGCACTAAACCAAATCTCGAGAGTACACTGGAGATATAATAATTGAACAAAGAAATAAATTGATCAGCAGTGGGTTACATAGATATGTGATTGCAGAGCCTTATAACAGAAACACAAGTGTGTGACTTTATATGTTAGTAAGTTAACAATATGTATGCTTTCAATGCCTGCAGGTATTCAGCAAGTACTATAGATGCCTTGGAAATGATGGATGATGACAAGGTCGACCTTGACCTTATAGCAGCACTTATCAGACACATCGTTTTGGAAGAAGAGGTACACTTCTGTCTCCTATCATCACATTTTAATGATGTAGCTGAATTGTGATCAGTGGCTGTTGGGAATGTCAGAGCTGATAGTTAGTTTGGCTTATCATACAGATACAAAGAAGAATAATTTTTTGTTTTGCTCTTCTGAGAAGTAGTCTAGCAGCTTTAAATATCAAATTACTGTTTAAGCCGTGAGTTTAGAATGTGTTTACAGTGTTTATTGAAATGATGGGATAGAATCTATGTTTAAAGGGGAGCACATATCTAAGCATTTTCTTGAATAGGGGTTGTGGGTATTAATGAGAACTATGTACCTAAGAAACTTGGAAAACTTACAGATAGGTTTCATACACTCATCTGTGGTCCCTACTGAGCAAGGGAGCTGAATTCTTTCACTGACAGTAGGGATTGTCTTGTAAACAAAATGGGATAGATACCTGAAGATTTGGGTGCCATTTTGATTCAGATTGCTGCATTTTTTTCTTTTGGGTAAGCTTTTAAATAAGCTTTCAAATTAATTATACATCTTAGTTATTTCCTGTAAAGTAATGTAATTACAAATTAGATTTTAACTTTTAGTTCTTTCTGTGACTGTGTTTGTCAAAGGTAGTAGTCTTTGTAGTAAAAGTTATGTTTTGTGAAACAGCCATGGAAAACTGTCCAAAAACCTCTTTGGTGTACAGCTGAATCTCTGTTCTTAATTCCTCAGCTGTGGGAGGGAGAGGGCAAAAGCAATACTTAGAATTGATGTTCACTGCCTGATACCTACACTGTGCAGTTAGCTTTAATGTTTTTTCTGCCTGAGTAGTCTAAATATGACTTAGATGCAGCAAAGACTGAATTTTTATACAGCCCAGCAAAAGTCTAGTCACATTTACCAAACACGCAGCTAGGAGACTTCCAACTTTCAGCTTGTCAAGATTAGTAGTTAATACAGCTGCATTAATAGTTATCCCCAAATGTGCCTTACCTTGTTATTTAGTAATATCATCATCAGAATATTAATATCAGAAGGATCCTTTGCCTGAAGCAGTGACAAGCATGAAGTAAGAATAACTTCTGTTACCATAGGTATAATGTATGTAGGTTGTCATAACCTGAAGTAATATATTTGTTTCTGTGTTCAAAAACATCTGTGGAAGAGCTGATACCTTGGCTGATTCCTTAAAGAGAATTTTGATTATTAAGAATATCAAATAACTTAATATTTCAGTTGATAGATTATTTAAGCTGGGTATAATGAGGATGAGTTGCTGTTTCCTATTTTGTTCTTCCTGTGTTGAAAATTGTACACTAGTTTGTTTTATTTGCAGCTTACATTCTTCTAGTGTTGACGTGGCTGTGTTTTTAAAACACTGCAGGGGAAAAATGTTTAAAATCAAATTTTTATTTATTAAGTTCAGATAAACATATGTAGCTAAGTCTTTTATAGAAAACAATCTTATAAATGTTGTTCCAAATTTGAGTCAATGAGGTTTCAAATATCACATATCCAACATGTGCATTAGTGTGGAAGTAGCTGGTTCTTTGCATAGCGTGTAATTTATTCTAATCTCTTTTCCCTTCGCTCCCTCTTTTATATATAGGATGGTGCAATTCTAGTGTTTCTTCCAGGCTGGGACAACATTAGCACTTTGCATGATCTCTTGATGTCACAAGTCATGTTTAAGTCAGGTAAAAACAAAACTTTACATGGGAATTCTAGCAGTAGCGTTAGTGGCAAACTCTTAATTTTTGCATGTGATTGCTGGTATTGCACTGGATTTTTTTTTCTTTTCTCATCTCTCCTCTCAAAATGATTGCAGTGTGTTCAGGGTTTTTTGTATTTCTGTGATATCTTTCATTTGCTAATGATAATAACTCATTTTTCTCAGCGTAGGAGTAAACAATCTGAAAAAGAATCTCAGACCTGCATCTTTTTCCTTTTGTCCTTTCTTGTAGCTATGATAACTTCTATCCAAAACTAAACTCTTTCTTCATTCTGTGTTCATTTTCTTTTATTGATCTTTCAGCAGCTTCTGTCTACTGCTTTGCTGGTAGTTCTTTTAAATCCTATTTATTCCTTGAAGCTTTTTTAATAGGACACTAAAATACCAATCTATGCCTATCGGATACACTTTAATTTGTTCTGTTTGCATAACTCATTTTCATCTAACTTGTCTAATTATGCTATTGACTATTCAGGTAGTTGTCTTGCAGTTCATGTTGTGTACCTTCCATAGATAAAGAATTTCAATTTATTGAAAGATTGAGGAGGTTGTCAGTTTATTAAACTTGATAAATTATTAAATAATTTGAGAATTTGAAAATTAAATATAAATTACTGTACATAACTTCATATATTTTCGTAAACTTGTCAAGTCATCATAGCATAATAAAAAAATTTCCCTTAAACCTTTTTACTTTAGAAATTGCCATTATGATACATACACCTGTGAATTCAGAATAAGAAACAGTAGACTTAACTTGCAGCATATTTTCTCTATTCTGCATAGTTGATTTTCCTGTAAAATTAAAGTTTCTGTGCTTACACCATATCTTTTACTGATTTTTAATTTTCAGATAGGTTTATTATCATACCTTTACATTCATTGATGCCTACTGTTAACCAGACTCAGGTATGCTTTCCTTTTATTGCAATATTTCACAACTACAACAAAAAAAATTAAGCATATGTTTGGTTTTGGCAAACATATAAATGGGCCATGGATAATTACAGGTTTTTAAGAAGACCCCGCCAGGAGTAAGGAAAATCGTGATTGCTACCAACATTGCAGAGACTAGGTAAATAGCTAGCTATACAGACCAAAAAAACCTATACAATTAGTAACATAAGTGAAATTGATAATTTAAATGATAAACCTGTTTAATGTTTCCCAAAATACATGTCTTCATGTTTGTACTGTTCATTTATAACACTATCTTTAGAAATGTTTATAGACTAAACAGGAGTTTGCCTTTAATCGTTTTAAACAATTAAAACATGGATATAATGACTCACCTTTGTTGTACATGATAAATCTGAGCCGCCTATCCTCTCTGCAGACTTCATAACCCCATGTGGTGACTTCTGCCAGACCTAGGAGAATAAATCAAGCTCTTTCTTGAACTGCTTAGTAACGTAATTCTTAATGAAATTCCAAACACAGATTTTTTTTTTTTATTGTTGGCTCACAGTTTGGGAGGGGATAAAGAGAGGCTAAACCCCTTTCAGATCCTAGGCTTGCAAAGATGTGAAGAGTTGCATTTTTTTCCTCTTTTTTTTTTTAACAGCATTACAATAGATGACGTCGTGTTTGTTATAGATGGTGGAAAAATAAAGGAAACTCACTTTGACACACAGAACAACATTAGCACAATGGCAGCAGAGTGGGTTAGTAAAGCTAATGCCAAGCAGAGGAAAGGTCGAGCAGGAAGGTAAGAATAATGGGGAAAGTAGAAAAGTTTTGTGATGTTAAGTTTCCATCAGTCTTGGAGCACATGCTGCTGAAGATACTACTTTGTTATTCATATGTTCAGCAGCAGATGCTAGCACAACTGTCTCTTGTTCTTATGGAAGGAATGGTTTCTTTGTCTTTCTAGGAAACTGACTTAACTTGTACTGCATTTAACTCATGAGTTTCCCTCCTTATAGAAGAATAAGTCCTGCATTTTTTTAAATGTTTTGTTGGTAGTGTTTGCCTTCACACCTGATTTATGAGGCTATGATACATTAAAGTGAAAACTGCCTACAAATTAATATCACCTAGCCACATACCAATTTTTTTTTTAAATTTCTCTCCCTCTCAAAATACCTTGTGGAATATTTTCTCTCTTGTTCAGACTTACAGTTCTTCTCTGGTCTCTTCATTACTCCTTTTGAGCAGTTGATAGGAGGTTTCTCTGTTCTGCATGCCTTTTCTCCTCTTGATGGGTCTGTGTTTCAGAAAGCTGAAATGGCTTTTACAATTGAATATGCTTCAGTTCTAATTCTTTGATGTGTTTTGGAAAGCTGTTTATAAACAAACACAATCATCATGTCACAGTGTCATAGGGAAAAAAAAATACAATTGTTTACTTGAATAATTCCAGAGTTCAGCCAGGCCACTGTTATCATCTGTACAATGGACTACGTGCTAGCCTTCTAGATGATTATCAGTTACCAGAGATCTTGAGGACACCTTTGGAAGAGCTCTGTTTACAAATCAAGGTAACCATATGAATCTTCAAACGTATTTATAATCTACTTTTCCATTGGAATAAGAGGTTGAGAGATTAAGTTAATGCAGCTGTGAGCCTAAGGTTGTCTTCAAGTCAAAATTCAGTTACACCAGAGGCACAATATATTTAGGTAATAATTGCAGCAACTTTTGAAAAATGCATACTTGCATCTAGGTGCATCAAATCCAGGAAAAATAGGATTGTCTAGTATAAATAAAAGCTGAAGTCTGGACTGTGTTTCCCTCCCTGTCCCCCAAATGTCATTCAGTCAGAGGAGCTTCAGTGAGAATGTCAGTGAGTCAAGGGATATGATGTCTTAAAAGAATTTTACTAAAAAGTAGTTTTAGAAGTGACATGAGTTTCCTTTTTGGCAGTTTGTATTGAATTCCTTATGCATGCATAAGGAATACCATGTGTATGCATACTGAATGAAGACTAGGTCCTTATGTTTCAAATTTCATCATTAATACATTTTTATTTTTGTCCTTAGTTCTTAATTAGTGAAATTCTAACTCAAGCTGTGAATTAATCACTTTTTTAATTTGGGTGGTTACTGCTTACTAATTTTAGGTAGCCATCTTTCTCCAATTGCTGAGGTTTTTGGTTTGGTTTTGTTTCCTTTCAGATTCTAAAGCTTGGTGGAATTGCTTATTTTCTGAGCAAACTAATGGATCCACCATCTCGTGATGCTGTAATGTTGGCTATAAATCATCTAATGGAGCTGGTAAAGTATTGCTTAATGTACATGCAAGGAAAAATTTTAGAACCATGTTATTGCGTTGTTTGTTATCAGACAGTTCTGATTGTACAGGTCTAGACATTTGCAACTCCTTATGGTATTGTGTAGACCCTTTATATATCCTCACTGAACAGAGGAAATAATTTCACATAATACATGGTGTTCGTGGGCTGCATAGAGTAGTTCCTGAGGAACTTTCTAAATGACTCACATCATACACATGCATCTTGCATTTATTTTCCCTACAGATACTTACTTAACTCACTGCTTCTCTACCACCCTGCTCATGGCTGCATCCAAGTCTTCCTATCCCAGTCAGATAAATGAAGAGTTTGAGATACTTTCTCTGTGGGCAAATAAGGCATATAGGAGAAAGATCTTGTATGTCATTGCCCCTTTGGGTGCTGGGGAAGGAGAGGTTAACGACATATTTGTATTACTGATTCCTTGCACTGGTAGTATTTGTACAAATCAATTGTAGCAATAAACCGAAACATCTGACTTAGTTGAAGGGCAGTATTTAGTCTGATGGCATGATTCTATAAATGTTTTGATTAAAGTTAGAATTCAGCTGTACATTTGGTGTTCTGTGACAGTGCTGTATAGTAGTAAAGGGTAGAGTAAATAAAAACAGAAGTGATACTGAGGGTAAGATACAAGTCTAAAAATAATCATGATCAGGAGAATAGGAAGACACTGAAGTGTTAATAGGTCTTCATACTTTCATCCAGAAAGACACTGAGCCCTAATAAACCGCTTGAAACACAATTAAAGATGGTTGCAGTTTTCTTGGATCTAATTGAACATTTCTATTTCTCCATAACTTGCTTGATCACTTTCCTACCATACCTTGTTATAGCTACTTGCGTTCTCCAGCTGTTAGGCTTTCCTTTGTTCTCTAGGTATACTAGTGGCTATTTCAAGGAAATCCTCCCCATTTCAAATACTGTGTTTATTCTTTTTTCCTTTCTTGTTTTTCTTCTGCTGACAGAATGCTTTGGACAGACAAGAAGAACTGACTCCACTAGGTGTCCATTTAGCACGATTACCAGTTGAACCACATATTGGAAAGATGATCCTCTTTGGAGCTTTATTCTGCTGCTTGGATCCAGTACTTACAATTGCAGCTAGCCTCAGCTTCAAAGACCCTTTTGTCATTCCTCTGGTAAAGTTTCTAAGAGGAGAATTGCACATAAGATTTTAAGAATCTCAGAAGGATATTGGGACTTACTGAGATGTTATAGTTATTATTTTCATGTTAATTATATTTTTATTAGTAAAGTATTACCTTCACCTACTATGAAGTATTGTCTTGCCTACAGAATATTGGAAGTAGCTTTAATTTTTACGTATGCAGCATACGAAGTATTGCTGTATATGTACCTTAATTAGGAAAAAGAGAACTGTCATGTCAGTCATGAATATTTTATAGGTTCTAATTATTCATAGGGCAAAGAGAAAGTAGCGGATGCAAGAAGAAAGGAACTGTCAAAGAACACTAAGAGTGATCATCTAACTGTGGTGAATGCTTTCACGGTAGGCTTGTTTTAATGTTTTGGGGTTTTTTTTCTTCTAGAATTTTAATTTGAGCAATATGGATTATTCTAAAGAAGAAACTGGTCAGTTTATGCTCTGAAGCATTTCTTTCTTGGCCTCTACAGAAGCATAAAACCAAATTAATTTTCACCCTTCTAGTGTTGAGGAATCTTGTCTTCAGGCTCAATAACCTAATTTCTTGTGGATAAGTCTACGAAAGAGACAAAGCATAATGTTATAGTTACCTTACTGAAATAATTAATATTTGCCCTTCTGGCCTCTACAAGAGGCTGAAGCTGTCTTCAAAAGTGTTGGAGACTTAGCTGTATAGTGTTGGGGTGAGAAGAGGAGGAAATAAATGGCCTGGAATGCAGTTTCTACCCAGGACTGTTAATAGCAACAAATTAAGTTCTGGCAAACTTAGCTAGATTTCACTCCTCACCATGGAAAAAAGGAAGTTTTTGTTTCAAAATGTTGTAAAGTTTGTGTTTTTCTGCTCTGTGCTCCATATACATAAACAAAGAGATCAAAGGATTTACTTTCTCTCTTGTAGAGAAAAATGTAACTATATTGTTTGTTGACAACAAACAATAGTTTTTGCTGTCCATAATTTTTTAGTATGTGTTCACTTAGAAACACCTTTGAACTACGGTTTTCACTTTTAGGGCTGGGAAGAGACTCGGCGGCGTGGTTTCAGAACTGAGAAAGACTATTGCTGGGAGTATTTCCTGTCTTCAAATACACTCCAGGTAACATGCTGACAGTTTAAAAAAGAGGATCATGTCTGTGGGGAAAAGGGGAGGAGCCTTTTGCACAGCATCATTCTGGGATAATTTTTGTTATTTCCTAGATGCTGCATAACATGAAAGGACAGTTTGCTGAGCATCTCCTTGCAGCTGGATTTGTGAATAGCAGAGACCCCAAGGATCCCAAATCTAATACCAACTCAGGTAAACAGTGGAAGGAAATGGAAAATTTCTGATAGCTGAAATCTCAGTTTGCAGAACTGCGTTATTTACTTTGCTGTCTTCTACAGATAATGAGAAGTTGCTCAAAGCGGTCATCTGTGCTGGCTTATATCCAAAAGTTGCAAAGATCCGGCCAAGTTTCAGCAAAAAGAGAAAAATGTGAGGGTTTGTTGGTTTGTATTCAAGGTGTTCTCTGCATTAGGTAGTTTGGTGAGGTGAAGCAATGGCTCGAGTGCATGAATGAATCTATAGCTCAAGTCACGGTTGTGGGTTACTTCATTTGAGAAGGGTAGGTGAGAGGACAGGATTGTTGATCTTCACTTTAACATTTGGATACCTGTGAAATAATTTGTGTGACCTTATCATGCCATGGATAATGTTACAATATATCAGTAACACTGCTGCTAAAGGAGCCCTACCATTATCTGTGATCTACAGCAGCAGTTGAAACACTGTCCTCTCTTATTACTTGGCAAGATAGAACCCAGAAATTCTGGTCTGTTGATTTATCACTATTTCTATTATCAGACTATTTATTTTTATTATCTGTTACTCACAGTAACAGTATACTCATCAGGATATAGACAGTCTCCTTTATGGACCTGATTTAAGACAGAATGAGGTGTTGAACATTTGGATTGATTTTTCTGGGTGTATAATGCAGAAAAAGCAAACTATAGGAGCAAGCATTGTGTCTATAATTAAAAAAAAAACAAGCAAAAAACCCCCTGACTGATCGCTTCTATGAAAGGAGTAAGAACATGCAGTCAAAATTATACTTTACATTGCATAATTTAGCCCTGTCTGTAGCTGACACTGCTAGTCCGTTGATAAAAGTGAGTCCAGTGTGCTTGATGCAGTAAAGTTTGCAAACCTGATGCAAGTTACTGTGTCGCTGTATCTTTGCCGCATGGTGGAGCTAGGTGTAAGCCAGCTGCCTAGGAAGGCTCAATTTTATGATCCACTAAGCAAGGGATTTGTTACACTAACCACTTTGCTGCAGAGCTTCTCCCAGGCTGCCGGTTTCTGTTTCAAAACACTGAACTTCATGTTTTGCAACATACTTCTGCACACAGGGAATAGAGAGCTCAGTGATCCACACCCAAAGAATTACATCTCTGAAATGTGAGAGAGAACAGTTGTGCTTCATACATACTGTGCTTGGTTTCTGCTTTTTATTGTTTGATGGCATGATTATGTTAGAAGGGAAATGTGATTTTGGGGAGTTAGTATAACCAAAGCAGTTGAATGTTATCCCTTGAGTAAAATTTGTTCAAAGGCACGTGGTACAAATAGAGGTTCACCACTCTAGACTGGTTGACAGCAGTATAGCTAGTCCCTTGTTTCACAATGACACTGCTTAATGGTGAGCAAAAAAATTCAGATACGCAAGTTCCTTATGTGGTGTTTCCAAGAAATTGCTTGAAATTTGGCTCATGTAACCAAATTCAGTAACTTGGCCTTCTTTTTCCAAATGAAGGACTCCACTTGTTTTTTCTACTTGAGACAATAACAGGGTTTATTAAGAGAGTAAATTTGACCAAAAAAATCAAACTTCTTAAATGCAGAGAGAGAGAGAGAGAGGTCTAAAAATTTGTACTGTAGATTCAGTTGTTATCTTTTGGGAAAGGAGTTAAAATTTCTTTGAACGTCCTTGTACATTCAGAGTTTAGTATGCCAGTGGAGAACTGGAGGGTTTTTTTTAACTTAGGACATGACTATACTAAACTTTCAAGATTTTATTTCAATCCTAAAACAAAACCTTTTTTTTTTTCCTTCCAAGGGTGAAAGTTTGCACCAAGACAGATGGAACAGTTAATATTCATCCGAAATCGGTTAATGTGGAAGAAACAGAGTTCCATTATAACTGGCTTGTGTACCATTTGAAGATGCGAACTAGCAGTGTATGTGAAGGGTTTATATTTGTGGAATTTATTTCTGTGGCTCTCTTTAGTAAGGTCAGATCAAGGTTCAAAGGCGATGTGAACAGTGCCTTTGTTTTGAAGCCTTCCTGTCTTGGGTCGTTCCTTTTATATGCCATCAGATTATGTTCTTTGTGATACTGGTGGTATTGTTCCACAAATAACTAACTACTGGGTTTTTTTGTGGTTGGTTTTTTGGGGGGTGGGGGTTTAAGATTAAGGCAATAACAGGTGTAATTTTTTTTTTTTATTTCAGTCCAGTGTACACGTCTCACTATGCTGAAATTTTTTTGTTTTCCTCTGATTGTTATGGAGTAGTTGGTTTGATTTCAGCACTTTGTGTGAAGGACTGCATTTGGGACCATTTTTGCTGCTGTTCAATCTGATTCCGTGTAACTTTTCCAACTGAGTTGCTTCATGTATGTCTTGCAAATTTATGAATGACTCTGAATAATGATCTTCTGGAATTCTGTTTTTAGTTTCATTAAGGGTTACTGATGTCACGTAAGATGTTTTGAAGGGTGATTGGACAGTTTTGTCTTCTTGCAGATTTACTTGTATGATTGTACAGAGGTCTCTCCCTATTGTCTCTTGTTCTTCGGAGGAGATATATCCATTCAGAAGGATAAAGATCAGGATACCATCGCTGTGGATGAATGGATTGTTTTCCAGTCTCCAGCAAGAATAGCGCACTTAGTTAAGGTGACTATGTTTAATAATAATGTGTGTGGAAGACTTAGTATAACACTGATTCTTCTTAGAGATTTCTATATTAGGTATTACTGTGTACCTACTGGTTTATCACTATAGGGAGATAATAATATTTTAAATGCATTCCCAGTAAGCAGTTCAAGTACACAAAGTAAACAAAAGAGCTCTAGTGAAGGTGTGTAGATGAATGCAAGTTAAAAAGCAGTACTAAAAATAACATTCTGAACAGTCTGCATCACATGGTGAACTGGGCAGAAGTAAACAGTAATGTACTCCTTTGTTTGGCCTTAGGAGTAGGCAGACTTACTTATTTTTTTGTTTCCAGTGTAATAGCTTGACTAATAAGAATGAGGCTGTGTGCCTATTGAGCATCAGGAGTATGGCCTTGATGTTCTTGTTCAGCTGGTACAGCCCCTGAAAAATTCATGGGGATATTGAAAAACTGTAGAAGCTTCAGAGAACAGTTGTAGGGTGGATTTAAAGAATTTATAAACATGTCTTACAGTAATATATTTGAAGTACTTAGTCTCTGTAGTTTTCCATAGCAGAAGCTGTAGGATGACTTGGATCAGTCTGTGAAATGTCCACATGGGTATGGAAACATGAGGATGAGACTTTTCAGCTGGCAGTAGTAAGTTCCAGTGGAAGGAGGAGCTGAATAGAGCTCTGTTTAATATTAGATCCTAGAAATCATATGTCTTTTTTTTTTAAACTCAAATATTTTTAATCCTGAAATAGCCAGCTAATGGGTGTATATAGGCTGTTAAAGGCCATCATATCCAGAGATGGTCATCTGTCGTAAAAGGTAAAACTACTAGTTTCTGAGAAGCAGCTTTTGATCCTGAAAATAGCAATGCTGAAATGAATTGAAAGGAGAACAGCAGGTGTGAAGATTAGGAGAACAGAGGGCCCAAGGGTTTGAACTTAACTGTAGTAACATTGTTGTGTGTAGCTCTAATTGCCTGTCTCTTTTCTTTTTTCTTTCTTTTTTTTTTCTTCATTCCAACAACTCTTTCCAGAATTTAAGACAAGAGCTTGATGATCTTCTACAAGAAAAAATAGAAAACCCACATCCCGTGGACTGGAATGATGTTAAATCCAGGGAGACAGCAGTACTGACAGCTATTATAGACTTAATCACAACACAGGAGAATGAAAGTGCCAGAAACTATGCTCCACGATTCCAGAGTGAACGCTATAGTTGACACACTTTCATCTGTATTGATAAAGCCAACACATTCACCTTGTTTTGTTTTTTATAGCATTTATTTAGCTAGAGGAAAAACTTTTTTAGGGTAAGCTGCTAATTCCCTCATACTGAAGAGCAGTTATTTCAAAATAGTTGGTAATATCTGTATATGCATGGTATTCTGTGTTCAGTGTAGCTTTTTAAATAAGAGAAATGCAATGCTAGCAATGTTAGTTGATGTACGGTTCTTGTCCTGCTGTAGGTTTTTTTTTTTTCCCCCATCAGGTAACAGATATTCAAAAAACCTGCTAAAATACTGCTTAATAATACTTAAACTGTTCTTGCTACTGCTAGAAACATCTCAAAAGACTTTTTTTTTTAATTGGGTGTGGTAATTATACTTACTGTGTTATTCCAGCTGTGCAGCAGTCTTCTCACCAACACTTCCACAGAAGGTAATTATAGCTTAATTAAACTAAACTTGAAAACACTTGGTAAATTTGTACTTTGGGAGGAAACAGTCTTCAGAAATATTCTCTTCTGCCTTTCATCCCATTCAATTACTGTTTATTTTCTGTGCCCATCAGTCATCAGTACTGACTAAAATTTCAGACTACAGGAAGCATGGTTAGATAAAAGTCATGGTGGAATACACTTTAAGGTTTCATTGCATTCTAACTTTTCTTTTTTAAAAACAGCCCATGTATGGGTTATATTATTACATTAAAAGTCTTTTCTTTAAAGTGTCATTTCATCTGTTCTTTGTTCTTAATGTTTTGAATGTCATTCTGTTTTGAATGCTTCCAACTATGTAAGAACATTGTTTAGGATTTCAAGTAGGGTGACTAGTTTGAGAAATACTGTTTTGATCAAACTGCTGTTTCCTTTAAAGCCTGGGGGCTGGATTTGGGGTTGGGCTCTGTTCCCCACTGCTGGGACCAGGGGCAGGAGATGGAGCTAAAACTGATGAAGGGTGTTCAAATAGGCACTGAAAAGTGCTGGTAGTTCACTTTGCAGCCATAGCTGTAGTTATTTCTAGGATTATCCTCAAGGAACAAGGCTCTTGTGTCTTGTTTGCCTGGAAATGTAATGCCTTCTCCCTTCTTGGGGTTTGGTTTTGTTTCTTGTCCTTTGCAAAAGATCCTGACCAACAGGCTCAGGGGGGATTTATGAGTCTTATTCTGAAGAAAACAGAACTGGTCAGGTGAAACTAATTATTATTTTTTTTTCGTACAGCAGTAAGCCTAACTTACTGATTGGACCGTGCTTTCCATCGGGTTAACAAGGAGTGGAGGATGCCAAGCTCATAATGCAACACAGCTGCAAAAAATATAGAGTTCAGCCTCCCTCCCCCCAAACATTTACTCTTTCACCCCCTCCCAGGTGCTGAGGTGTTTCAAACGGGGAGAGAGGAGGAGGAACAGTCCGGCGTGGGGGCGGTGGATGCACGAAAGGGGGAAAACAAAAGCCTCGGCGGCTCCGGGGAGGGGGACGCCGGGGGACCGGGCGCCGGCCGGGCTCCCCGGAGCCGCCGGCGGTTGCGTGGGGAAAAGCGGGGCTGCGAGGAGCCACCGGAGGCCGCCGGGACCCTCCAGACGCCCTGGGGGACGCAGGTGAGGGCGGGAGGCGGCCGGTTCATTCGCCTCAGGGCGGCGAGGTGCTGCGAAGGTCTCGCCGCGAGCTGCGCCACACGACGGGATGGTGAGGAGGCGGGAATCCAGGGTGCCGCGGCACCGCTGAAGGTGAGCCCTGGAATCGAAGGCGGGGGGGGGGTGGGTGGGAGGAGATTAAATTAGTGATAATTTGTGTGGAAATGGAAATGAAATAACTTGACTGTAGTGCTGTATCTCAGGCTTCTGGTTTTGGAAACGCGGGGTGTCGCGCTGGGACAGGTGCAACTGGTACAGGAGGAAGCAAGATGGCGCCCAGAGCTGAGAGAGGGGCTGCGGGCCGGTTGTACCTGGCTGCTCAGCGTTGGGGCAGAGGGGTGTGCGGTGGCAGGGGCAGGTACCGTAGCGAAGTAGGGTGGGCTGCTCCACGTTGGGAATTTGTAGGTTCTTGAAGAAGAATTGGTAGTAGCGCTGTTACTGGCAGGGTTGGATTAAAAATCACAAAAAAAAAAAAAAAAAAGCTGGCAGGTGGTACCAGTTTCATTTGCCCTTGTTCTTGGTTTTTTGCAGTACTTGAAAGGAATGATGGCTAAACTTCTACCTAACAATAAAAAGGGCAAAAAGAAATGGTAGCGGTAGCAGAGCCTGGGTAAAAATACCAGTGTTTGTTTAACAAATCAGATGGTTCCCTCCCCTGCCTCCCCAAATTGTGGAGGATCAGACTGTGGTATTGGGGCCATCACCAGAAGAAATGCACCCTGAGGTGGTCATGGGTTGGTATGGGCAGATCTTTGCTTATAAAGAAACATGATTAATGTGTAAATATTGATATTGGCTGTACTTTCCCAACTGTGCATGTAGCTTAACTTCCTTTTTTAAGCAGAAAAGTATTGGAAACCTCTGTGTTTTTCGAAGTTTGAAAATTAGCCTTTTCCCAATGCTAGGTGTACTGGTTTTGGCTGGGATAGAGTTAGTTTTCCTCATAGTAGCTGTGTGTGGTGCTGTGTTTGGATTTGTGATGTAAGTAGTGTTGATCGCACAGGCATGTTTTAGGTATTGCTGAGCAGCGCCTGCACAGCATCAAGCCTTTCCTGTTTCTCATGCTGCCCCACCAGCAAGTGGGCTGGGGGTGTGCAAGAAGCTGTGAGGGGGCACAGCTGGGGCAGCTGACCCCAACTGACCAAAGGGATATCCCACACCAACTATATGGCCATGTTGCTCAGCAATAAAAGCTGGGGGGATATAGGAGGAAGGGGAGACATTCAGAGTGGTGGCATTTATCTTCCCAAGTCCTATGTGTGATGGAGCCCTGCTTTCCTGGAGATGGCTGAACACCTGCTTGCTGATGGGAAGTAGAGAATGAATGCTTTTGCTTTGCTTGTGTGTGGGGCTTTTGCTTTAACAATTCAACTGTCTTTATCTCAAACCACTTGGTTTTACCCTTCTGATTCTCTTCCCCATCCTATGGTGGTGGGAGTGAGCAAGTGAGCGAGCAGCTGTGTGGGGTTTAGCTGTGTACCAGGGTTAAACCATGACATCGGGTTATTAATGCTTATGTAAGGTTTTTAACATTCTTTTTCATATGGCTAGCCAGAGACCATGTTTCTCTCCCCAGTGCATAGTGCGCTTAATGAAGTCTGTTTCTGTCTGTGTGTTAGTGTTTCTGGCATCTCCTGGAACTCCGGGTTATGGAATAAAACAGAATTCAGGGATGGCAATTAATTTTTCCTGACCTTTGTGTTATCTCCAGTTTGCCTAAATGATGTAGTTGTTATGATACAGCTGTTGAAAATAATTTGCAGACTACAGTAGAGCTAAGAGCAACACTATCTGTGTAATTCCTGGGGAACAAGACCTCCTCAGATTTGCTCTATCTTGGTGTCAAAATTTAGGTTTCTTTCTAACACTTGTGTTCTGTTGACTTGTTTTGACTAAGTGTGTTACTTTAGAAACAGGATATACAGGAAAAAAGCTTGTGTGAATATATTCTATTGGTACAGAGTTTAAAGTATGTGCATGTAAATAGGATGCTCCATGAAGACTGTGTTTCGTGAGGTTGTGTAGGTTGACTAAAGTGCTACTTTTACCTTTTATTTTCAGCAAATTAGCTTTGCCTAATGGAGAACAAATGCATTGTTTGACATGGAAGTCAAGAACAATACTGCATTATAGTGTTACTTTTTTAAAAGTTCAGCAGATAAAAATGTTCTAAATATTATATTGCAGAGATGATGTAAAGAAGCAGAAAAGGTATTCATAACTGTTCTCCAGTTGTGTCACGAGTATTTGGAAATGCTGAGACAGGTTGAAGGCAGGTGGGCACTGGTTTTCTGAAGGGGGTGCTTGGCAGCCTACACAGACCCCATATGGGCATCTAGGCTCACCAAGACTGAGTGGGTTCCTTCCCCTGGCAGTGCTGATGTTCAGTGTGGTCTTGGCTTCAGTGAGGGCTGAGTGCGAACCTGAGGTTTTGTTCTCGTGCATGCTGGCACCTAATCACTGAGCCAGTCACACAGGTTGGACTTTGCAGGGTTTCTGCCCACCTTACATAATGTGTATTTAACTGCATCATATAAAATGAAACTTTGATTCAGGGAACTGAGAGCGCCTTTTGTTTTTGGTCAACTTGCTTAAAAACTGATTAGAGAAGTCATGTAAGGAAGGGGTACAAATTCCAGGCCCTGCAAAAATGAAAGTTAATTTTACAGTAACAAACTCCCAGCTGTATTCCATCACTGCTGGGCTGTTTAATTAAAAGGAGATACTGGTGTCATGTCCTCCTCAGGCAGGAGAGAAAGAGAAAGCATGCATGTGTGTGCATGTGCATGCACTGGTTAGTGAAAATGAGTTTTTTGGATCATTCCCTTTGCAATAGAAGTGTTCAGAGCAAGTCAGAGTTAAAAAAGATTACTTCTTTTTTTTTGCTGATGAAAATATTGTGGAGTTGCTAGAAGGGGGGGGAAAAAAAACCAAAACAATGAAAAAACAAAACCCTTAAGCTTTTGAAAACTTGTTTACACAAACTTTTAGATACATTGCTTGTCATGCTGTCTTAAATTTCTAATACCTCTTTGAGCTATGTTGGAATTAATTTAGAGTGAAAGTCAAAGATTTTAAGAGGTCATACCAGTTATCAGTGTTGTACCTGCTAGATGCCTTTTCCAGGCACATGCTGATCCTAAACAGAGTGAGTGCAGTGCAGAGTCTGTTTCTGTGTATGGGGGAATTGCATAGCACAGACTGGAGCTGTGTAGCTTAGAAAACACTGTAATGGTGTCAGCTGCTTCCCTAAAAAACTCACAGCTTGTCAGGAAGTGCTGCTTCAGCAGCTCACCAAAAGGCCACCTTTTTTTTTTATTTTGATCCTTTTTTTCAGGCATTGTGCAGGTGGGGGCAAAAACTCTGCAAACAAATAGGTGAGGCAAACATACAAAGGAATGAATTAATTTGTAGCTGCCACACCTGCACCAGCAAGGTTGTAACATCTCCTAGGCTAAGGGGGAGGTTGTCACCACTCCTGAGAAGGTTCCCAGGCCACTGTTGTGGCCAGCAGAGAGCAGTTCTGAGGTTCCTGCTGCCCCAAGCTGTCATCTTCCTTTCTATACTTTCCCCCAGGTAAGTTATGTATTAAATACTTGCAATACAGTCTTCCAGTGTTTAATGTTAACTGAGAATAACTAACTAACTAATGCAGTCATGTTTAGCACAAGACCTGGATCCAGCATTTCAACTTCCTGAGTGTTCCACAGCAGGGCCTTGTTTCATCCTTCTCTCTTGATTAATTTTGAATTATTTTCTGCACAGTCACTTCTAGAAATCAGGTGTACAAAATGTATTGGATCCCATACAGGGCAACAAAGCTGGTGAAGGGCTGGAAGGAGCAGCTGAGCACTCTGGGTTTGTCTAGTTTGGAGAGGAGGCTGATGGGTGACTTCATTGCTCTCCTAGACCTGCATTTTATGCCTTTGCTCCAAGTTCATGGGCATACAGGTATGACAAATGACAGAGGACATATGATGGTGCTATTTATCTTTACAGAACAGATTTAATTTCTTTGGCAAGAATGACATTAAAAACTTGCAGTTTAATGGTGTTTCTTAAAGAAAAATTGAAGCTTTTTTTAGTAAGGATTTAAAAGCATTTTATTGATTGTTGTCCTGTAAAATCATAAAGTCTTTAATTCCTGAAGAGCTGTGTCCAACAATAGGAAAAATGTCTTTAAAAAACATTACAGCATTTTTGGAAAAACTATAGGTATGAAAAATATATACAATGTATTAAAATCTGAATAAAATTAATGTCTTGATTTATACATTCAGTTATGTGTTAAACATCTGCCTGTGTACAATAGAATTTGTTAAAATATTAGCAGTATTTTTTCTATGTTAAATAAGTCTTTGTTCAATTTACAGTTTCTCTCATTACTATTTTATCAGTCCATTTTAAATTAATTTACAAGGGTGTATAACCACTGTCAGACTGTCAAGGTAAGTATTTTTGTACAAAATTATTGCCTTCCTAATATATTTTAATGTTACAGAGACACATCTTTATAAACATCCAATTCATTCACACACAAATTGAATCAACATATTACAGTATATAAAACAACATACAGCCCCTTTGAAAAAGACAGGGAACACAACAGGAAGAAAGCCATTGTACTACACGTTCTTCCCTCATTTTTATTAAATGTGTGTTCTACCCTGCTGAGTTATCAGCTGGTCCTTAAAAAGGTGAAGAATTTTATAATACAAACTGTCACACCTATATACAGAAAAGATGCACTGGAATTTACTTCATTTTTGAGTGCATTTGGTTCACACACCATGAAGTGGTGGTGGTTTTCTGTAAAATTTCAAAGCTAAACTGCAGATGCAAAAATTTAGCAGGTGTTGGATGTAGTGCAATTGTGAGAAGTCTTCTCTAAAGCAGAGAAGAGCAGATGTGTGAAGCAGCACCAATGTGAACTCCTCTGAAGGTGAGGTCCTAGTACTATTTTATCTATCCTGCTCTTGCCCTCCCTCCTGATCTCTTGCCTGAAGCATCCAATGACATCAAGTAAGTCAGCAGTAGAGGATAGCCTAGATAGATAACAAAATACCAAGTTAAGGTGCTGAGCTATCTTGCTTCCCAGTCTTTCCTCAGTGGTGGTCTTACCATTTATATATACAACAGAGATGAGACCACCTGGCACCTTAACAACACTACAGATCTTACTTCTCCCTCTTTTTTTGCCTGTGGATTCAACATGATGCTAGCAAATGCTAAAGATGTAGGTAAACTGAAGTTCAGTTGAACATTTTGCCTCCACAGAAGGAAATAATCATCTCCTCTAGCACAGAAGAGCAGAAAGACTAAAAAAAACCAAAAAACCCCACCAAAACAACCCCCCCAAGCCCAGAACAGAGTATTTCATGTTTTCTGCAGTCCTCATCAAAACCCTTGCTCTAAAGCACTAACTTAATATGAAGATCTAGTTAAACATAAGGAAGAGAGAAACAAAATGGACAGATTTCCAGCAGTTCTACTCCTTTAAAATACCTGTACTAAAATGGATCTGAGAATAACATAATAAACATCACATATTTTGCAGAGTTTGGTACCTCTTTCTTGCTTTCAGAAGTCCTTTCACCACTGCAGCACTACAAGGAGAGAAAGTCTGAGCTGCCTGAATGAGTAACACGCTGTATTAGAGACCAACACCACTGGAGGCACTTCTCCGAATTCTTCCATGGAACTTGCATCAGCTTTGCTAACATCGATTAGAGATCTAGTTACTTCTTACAAAGCATGGGACGTCCCTGGATTTGTGCTGGAGAGGTAGTCCTTTATGAATTACAGGGTTGGTTATTCTAGTTTGTTACACACAGATTTTGACACAACTGGGAAGTATCCCATTAACATACTTCTCTGGTACTGGAAATGTAATACTGCAGTTTCTTAGGAGCAGGAAACGCCCAACATTGCTATTCACCTCCAGCTCAATGGATTGGGTGAGTTCCTGGTCTTCAGTCTCCTATGCAGACTGCTACACAGAGTTCTTCTGAAAGAAAGTCAAAATGCTCAGAAGCATATGGAGAAAGAATACATAGAGGCAGGGATGGAAGAACTAAAGTCAAGTCAAAAAGATGCGTGGCTGATCTCCAGTGCCTAAGAAGCTACTTCTAGTTGAAGTCTGCTACTGGTCAAACCAGGTTTCAGTTCAGAGCTCTCAAAATGCAAGATCAAAAGGGTTGAGTATCCAAAACATCAGTGCTCTGTTAACTACATTTTTTGCATTGGTGACCTGCATCTTCCATGCAAGTGCTGTAGGCCATGCATCCATGCCCCCACTGAGAGCAGTTAGTGCAAATCCTGTAATATAGTACAAAGAAGCAAAAACGGTCTACACGTTGGTTTCAAGTCCAAGTAAGCGTCCCATCCGTTCCATGTTCTTGTCAATCGTGGCACGACATGTGATTTCTTTAGCACACTCCATGGGAAACCAACCTCTTTCGCCATCCCGCAGTCGTTCCCCTTCGTACCAACCTGCAAGGGTGAACAGACATGGAGTAACAAACCTTTTCAAGTAACATTAAAGATTCTTTGTCAGAACTGTGTGTGTTGCACTTGAGGAGACAAAGCTGACAGTCATCACACATGTTATACATTTACCTTTGTAGTGAATAAATTACTAGATTACAATCAGTTTGGCAGATATTTTTTTTTATACAGGCAGACTAGGGATAAAATAGTATGTAAAAATAAATATTAAACAAGTGTAATTTTTTGTATTGTAATTCAAATATAGTTTGAAATGGTATGAAGAATATAATATTGTAATCTAAAGAAAGCAATGCAGCACAGTTGATGGGATTTTTGGATTCATATGTAATATTGAATAACATCATTAAGTTAAGGTTTAGTACTTCAAGTGCTGACAGCTTCAAGTATCCCTGAGTTAACACATGAGATACTAGTAGAATCACGTGCACATCCAGGCAAGGATCAGCTTTGATCTCAGGGTACTTGGTATTATAGAAAACTTAGGCAAAACCCCTGTGCTAGACCCCTTGTACTGAACAGGCAGTGAAGCACAGTATATGACACAACAATGTCTATGTTTCTCTTAGACAAACCTGGTGCTCACTCGCTAAAATGTCTGAGGTCCATGGTTTTAGGTTGAATTAAAGTTATCTGTGGACATTTGACATATCAAAACCAGCCAGCACATGCTTTTTGCAGCTATTTATCAACTATGATAGCCGATGAGTTACTTTGAACATCTGTTGCCTAAACAGAGGCTGTCCTTCAGAAACCTGAACAGAAATGCTCACGTTTTTCTTGGAAGCTAAACCTTTGTTCATTGTACAGCCAATGCTATTACAAAGCAAATTTTTCTAGCTGGATTCACCTGCAGTGGTGACAGACAGTTACTGACAGCAAAATTCTCACTCACCATCATTTACTTTTTGATAAACCAAAACAACATCAGCAACTTGAAGAGACAGTTCATCTGACTGCTTTGCTGTGTAAGTTCTGATGATCTCTACCTGAGCCAAAGCTGTGGAAGAAATAAGCCAGGCTGAAATTAAACAATTCACATAACAGAGTATCTTTTATTAAAATAATATATACAATTTATTTTTAAAAAATTTAGAGTATACCCCCCCCAAAAAAACCCAAATCAAAGGAGGCAGCATTTTATGCAAATGGCTTCCTACCTGAGCAACTACACACAAACAAACTTGGGATAAACACCTAACAGAAGGGACTTTGCACTTTTGCTAGCAGATTGAAACACTGGCCAATCCAGAGTTAATGAATGCAAACAGAAATTACTGTGTGAAACAGAACTCCTCAAAGAAGCCCGTGGGCACAGGAAGAGAGGGCAACTTAATAGAGCCCAGGAAAATAAACAGAAGATGTTTCTAAGGGTATTTATAATCTACACTTGCTCACGTCCCCACTAAGGGGCAGTGCATTTCTATTCTTCTGTCAAAGCCCTCCGAAATGCTGTTAGTTGTAACTTACTTGTCCTGTCCGTTTTCTGCCCATCTCTGTCCTGTCCAAGCGCTGTAATCCAGCGAGCTCTGTCACTCCTGCAAACAGCATCAACAAAACTCAGTTTCCCAACTCACACTCTCGATAATGGTCAAGACTACTCCTCTTTTCAAGATTCTGTATTTAAATCTTTCCTCTTTCTTATTGAGTGAAGAAAACAAAACAAAACCTCCTTTTTCCTCCTCTCAAAATATGGCCAGAAGGTGTGATACTACTTCTAGCAACATATTATTCAAACATATTTAACTATTTTAAGCAGGTTGGATTGGACAAAAAAGCCTATAAACATGGGTTGTACTGGCATGATGTCTTATATACCTCTAATCTTAATTATTTTTAAGTAATGCAGGTAAATTTCTCCACTAGTGTCTGTGACTAATACTTATTAATAATCTTACTAAAATAGAAATCCATCTAATGTACAAAGAATCTGATAAATGCAATACAGAAATTTTAATATACAATACCAACAGGTTTCCTGTGAGTAAAGAACTATCTTAGAATGAAAAGCAAGAATGAAAAAAAAAAACCCCAAACCAAAACCAAGGTTTCTCTGTGCTCTCAGGAGGTCACATTTGTGTTTCCAGATGTGTCCATTTGGGAAATCTGAGAGCCAGCACAAATAAACCTGGACCCAACAAAAGCCTAAATTAGTCATTTGAATCTCACCTTGTATAACCTAGGAAAACCATAATCAATCTCAGATTACATGTGTCAGTATTTCTGAGGAGAGCAGAAAGAATTACGTAGGTTCTAATCACAGAAATGCAAATTACTGACAGCTAATTCTGGAAGGGAGTGGCACAAGCTAAAGTGATGTCAGACAGTAAAGGAAAAAGAAAGCTCATCCTAAATCACCCCTGTTAGTGGCTGAGCTATAACAACCATTATAACTTTGAATTTTGACAAACCAAAATTTGAGTTTGATTCCCAAAACAAATATTTCAGTGCAATTAGATTTTATCCTATGTTTGCTGAAGGGCTTTGCTATCAGTACAGATGAGAGTAACACAGGGGAGTTGCAGGGTTGAATTTTCCTATTCCCCCTACCCTAAAAAAAAATTCCTGTTGCTATCTTTGGATAACTTCAGTTTTTTAACTAAAAATAATGAAAAACATCTGCCTTCTGCCGAGACCCAATTTTGTCAAACATCTGAGACAAGAAAATTCCGTTTGGAAACAGCACTATGGTATCTTCAGAAGTGTCACAAAATGGGACATTTAGACAAATTATGAGACTTCTCTAGAGTACATCTTCCAAGATGCACCATCGCTCAGCAAGCGAGGAGACGATTCAGCAAGGGGTTGTAGTTAGCCTGTGAAGTCCAGTCTGCAACATCCCACTACACATCATTCCACGATAAAGTTCATCAGTCTCTTCCAAGAACACTGACACTTTCTCATGGCCTTTCTTCCAGCTAGCTCTAGAATCTCTTTTCTGTTCACAGACTAGCAAAATGTCCTGAGGATGAAGGGATTCAGAATGGAAGTCTTTGAGCATGCTTCTTTCAGAATGAAAAAAATATCCCACTGATTATTTTGAATAGAAATATTTATACTGTTTTTTTAGCATTTAGTAAGAAACTGTGATCTATTTTTTTTAAATCCCAACACACATTCTTCCTCAAAGGTGGAACTACTGCACACGTCCTACTAACATTTGATACCTGTTGGTCTCATACAGATGGCCAAAACTACAACACATGCTACTTTAGACATTTCAGTCATTTAACAGTAGGGTGGTATTGAACTTGTTCTGTTTCGGCCAAAAAAAGAATAAGTCTGTATACAATTTTGCATGACCTTAATTAACTTTGTGGCTTTTTTTTTTTTTTATAAACGGGTCTTATTTAGATTCTTGTTTTCCTTTCCCTGTAACCATTCCTAACATGAAAACTACATTTCCTTTCAGACAACTCTGAGAAAAATGGGATAATGCCAGACTCTCTCCCACTTTAAGTACATACTTCTTCATAATCTATGTGTACTGTATATTTTGTGCCTTATTCACAGGGCAATATAAAGTTCCTGACCTAACGCTGGTACTTTGGTACTTGGGAACCAGACACCATGTGAAATGACAAAACATGATCAAACTGTGCTACGAATCTTTGCATCAGTGAAAACATCCAATTTTTACATGTGCAAAACTCCATTCCATAAGCCCTCTAAAGCACCCAGCTTGGCCTCCCTGTTGTCGATTGCCCTCCCATCCTTCTCAAAGTTAAGAGAAAGTTTTTCTGTACCTTTTGTATACATCTCAATACTCTATAAAAATAGGTAGTTTTCAAATAAAGTAATTATTTTCAGAATCTTTTCCTCTGAATGACAATCTGCTAGACTGCTATTTCTATTACAAACAGTATATAGCAAATCAATAATAAATCTGCAGAACAGAATGTCTTTTCATAAGAAGCCCAGACAACTAAAAATGCATTTCCAAACAAGTCTGAATCATCTGCTTACTTTATAATGAGACCTTTAATAGAAATCATTAATGATCTATAGTTTCTTTCAGGGTTATTCTAAACTTTGAAAGCAAACCTAAAACTGTAAATTTTTCCAGGCTGGGATACATCTAGAGCAGTCTGTTTCATGTCTTCTGTCCCGCCTCCAGCTTCCACTAAAACAGATAAAATCTTTCACTTTTGTGAAGGGTTGTATGGAAGTTAATGGCACCACAGAGAAATGATGGCCTCTCAGATATTTGCACCCGAAAGAACAAGACACTTCTTGTTGCTCGTTTCTAAAGCAGAACACTCTTCAAAACTGCATCAGGAGAACAAGGACCACCTCTATCCCAGCACAGCTCCACAGCTTCCCCAAAGCAATGCCAAACTCCTCCTCCCATTTAATCCAGTACTGTTTCCACTTCTGCACCATCCAACCATTATTATAATTAATTCACAAATCGCTGCTCCAGGACAAGTGCATTCTGCATTCATACCCCCCAACAATGTCTGCCTGCTACCACCACTATGCCATAGGATGCACCTGTGCCTATCTCCTCCTGCTACTACTGTGCTCTACATACAGATAACATGGTATAAATGCCACATTGCTAGAAGAACTGAGGGTGAGATTAGGGCGAGATACTTTATTGTTTTAAAGAAAAACCAGCGCAGAGAAGTACCAGAGACAGAGCAAGCTTAATTAAATCTCTGCAGTCAAATTATTCAAGGTGTTCTCATCAAGATAAGTATCAAGAAAACCTCCCCTAACTACAACAGTAGAAGCAGCATTTTCTCATAGTAACCTGTGTTACACTTAGATCCGCATGCTCAATTACTCAGCCTGCACAGCAGCAGAACGTTGTTACAGAGAGCCTGGAACTCTGACTCTCGACTGCTTGTAATAGACCTTTCATTAGAAATTTAAGAACCTGCAGTTCTTCAGCACTGAGTTCTGCTCTTTGAGGCCTGTAATGGTCTGAACTATTTGTACGATAGCTATATATTTAAGCAAGCTGCAGAATGCATGTATATCCAGCGCTTTCAACTACAGTATGCTAGCTATTTGCTGTTATGGTTTACTTTAGGCACTCACCCTCTGGAGATAATGATTATTAGATAAATGCACTATGTTAACAGGTAAGCTAGGCAGAAAACCTGTGTCTTGACTTCCAGTTCTGAGAAGGTTTGTTACAGAAGTATTTAAAAAAAACCATCTTAAGCTACAACAGAACCCAGTGGTGACTCAAGATACTTAAGTGATATTTCTAGTTCAAATTAAACAATAAGAAACTTCCATATTGCAATATGTAATCACTAGATTGTGTAGTTTACTTAACAGTTGCATTATGTGGCAAAACTCTGATTTTTTTCTTTACTGTGATATCACTTAAACTGAAAATAAATTTAATGGAAATTCTTTCCACAACCCCCAAGAAATCCAAACTGCTTAAATCTCTGTTCTGCAGCCCTTGCTTGTTTGCCTCAGCAGTAACAACTAGAAGGGATTCAGTAATCCAGCGTTATTATTGCATAGACTGCAGAAAAGATACAGACCGAGTCTTGCCTGAACTTCAGAGTGTAACATACAGAAACTTTCCCTTTTACATATAAATCTGCACTGATGAAGTCTGAATAACTCTAGCTCTATTAGGCCAACTCTCCAGCTTACGAAGTACAAAATCAAATCACAAACTACATCTGCGCAGTATTTCACTCAATGCCACAAATGTGCATCTTCCTCTCCACAGACCTCTTTTAGGTCAGATCTTCAGCCTGCATTACACTTCGATACTCTGCTGACTTCAGGGACATTACACTTTCTGTGTATATTCTGTACTTTCCCTCTGACCAAAAACTCCCTCCACCCAGAAAGTGACAGACCTCTGCACTGTTTATGAATGGTCATATGTCAATTCTCAACTCTTTTGCAAAAATGTGTTCAACACCAAGATCTTCAGTTCCTCCTTATTTTATAAGCATTTTTATGCAAAGCTATCACAGATAGTCCTTTAACACCTTAAGCAATCTGTGACTAGAATTTACTGTACCTTCCATCAACATGGACTCCCTTTGCATTACCTCAACCTCTTTTTTGTTCCTTTGTTCCTTACCAAACACAGGTGGTGAAAGACACCACTACCAACTTTGTACTTCTTCTCCATTCAGCTGTAGGTCTAGAAGAGACACTCGGCTGCTCACAGAATGTCAGAATGGTGCCTTTGTGGAGAACTCCGTTTCAGACCACAGCGGTTTCACATACATGTGATGCTTTGCTTGTCATTTCTCCCTTCTGTTCTACCCTCTAATGGATTCTTAAGTTACTTCTCTCAGTAATGGTATTAAAGTAACACTCCACAAAGCACAGCCACACCATTTTTCACTGGCTAGGGAGCTGGCAATCTCCAAGGCAGAGGCATAGATAATTCTTGGTCTGAAGACCCAAAACAGCAGCACCTAATAATGGATACTTCAATTTACAGAATATCAACATATGCATTCAATTTTCCATTATTCCTACACTGTAACTTCAAGGAAAGAGAGTGACACTAACATGGCACGGGCTTACAGCCACTGAGTCCCCTCATGACAAGATTACATGAGAGAAACTGCACTAGGTTTGCAGAGGCTTTATTTTATTCCAATAAATATTTATTCCAGTATCTAGGGGATATTACATAAGCTGAAGCTGCACGTTCTCCTGCTCTGCCACTCATCAGAAAAGCTTGTCAAAGTTACCTTGCCTTGCTTTGAAAGTATCCACTTAATACAAACAGTGCACATCAGAGCAGTTGGCAGGTGTCACAAAGAGTGCTTCAGCGTTACTGAGCAGGGCACCAACATGGTCCACGACAAATAAGGGATCCTTTCTGCAGTAGTGCTCCTTTGGTCACTGCTGACCACACATCACAAAGACTGCCTGCTTGGGAACTTGTTTCATTTCATTTTGATTTAAACTTGCCAGACAGAAGCTGGGCATTTCATACTATCTTGACAGGAGCGGGGGCAGAACAGCCTGTTGAGATCATCAGGTGAAAAACTACAGAAATGGTAACTATTTACTTACTGAGTCTCTGCTCCCAGGAGCATCTCCACCTTCTCTCCTGCGTGGTTACTGAGGACCGCTAGTCTGAAGAGGTGAGCTGGAGAACTCTGCCGCGAGTAGAGCATAGTCGAAGCATTCTTTACAGGAGAAGAAGTCAGGTCCTCGCCGTCACATTGTTGTACCACCAGCTGGTCCCTTAAAGAATAATCTGTGACATTGTAACTCTCTTCACTGCAGAACAAAGAAGGGAAGGAAAAAACCCACAAGTTTATAGTTTTCCATTAAGTATGTCTGGAAGCAAACTCAGTCACAGAATCCACTTTTAACTGCACAGTATGGCATGACTCTTCTGATACCTCAGATCTTCATCTTTTCTGTTTGTTTGTTTTTTAAACTACCAATTTTCCAAGATACAAAGTAGATCAGTTTTTAAACCCTGTGGAATTTTGTTTAGCAGCGCAGTTAAATGACCTTGGTGCTCCTGAAGTGGTGTAAGCTCAACTTAACTCCACTAAATTTGAAAACAGGCACAGCAATTAGAGAATTGCACTTTTTTTTCCTGTAGATTCAAATGAACAACAGACCTTAATTTTAGAATGTTATAGGAAAAGAAAGTAAAATTTCCCTTTTCCTGTACGTGTAGAACTATGGGTACGTATACTGCTTCCACATAAACACTACTGATCTTCATTTTAAATACAGGATCAGCTTGTACTCCTTGTCAATCTGCATCTAGATCTAGTCCAAAATCTATTTTAAAATATTCTGAAACATAACCTTAGTCAACTGTGAATTTTTAGAACAGGCAAAGGCTTGTCACACACTACTGGTCTTGCAAAATGTACTGTGCAATTTGCCTTCTAGAACAGACTTTGTAAATAAATATACCAACTCTTAAGTGATACAAATAAAGATTACTACATATGCTTAATAACTTCCCAAAAAACGACTAGAAAGAATTCTAAGAAATGATGCAAGTTAGAAGCTTTCCTTTCCTTATGGCTGAAATGTAGGTGGAGAGGTGGACAAAACATCAGACATCACAAATCAGAACATAAAAAGTGTTACTGATTTTAACAACAGAAGGACTTAAATGAGAATAATGCACTCTTCCCTGAACAGCAGCCTTTTATTTCTAAATGTGAGAATCACTTCAGCTAATCAAGATCTTCTTGACAGATGAAGACATGGCAAAGACAGGAAGCAGCATGTCTGGACAAGGCACACTGTCACATACACCAGTGATAGATGGTAGCAGGGAACAGTTACTTCAACCCCCCTGTCCTTCAATCCATTACCATATATTTACAACATCTGCTTCAGCTGCAGAATATCCAGTCATCTTAAGCAGCATTCTTCAGCACTCTTACATGAGTTCCACCAGTTATCCTATCTATTGGTTTTGCTACTTATTCATATCAAGGTAATACTGGAAACTGGTTTTTTTTTCAAGTGGAAAATAACTGTGCATTCCAAATTTTTAAAGTCGTGAAACATAGTTGATGTAATATATCAATATTGTATCAATAACATATCTCAACAGATGTTAAGTCATCATCTCTCCATTTTCTTGTAATATTTGAGCAACCATAAAGGAATAATACGCTCCATTTGCACCTGCCAGAAAGGGGTATGTCACCATCAGCATTTCAGAGGCTTCAGTTCCAGGTGTTTGGGATTTGATTCGCATCAGATCAGTGCTTAGGTTTCTGTATATCTCCAGCAGCAAAATTAATCTTCTCAAGTATTTTTTCAATTTCAACTATTTTAATGAATCACATTAAGTAATCTGAGGCTCTAGCATAGCTTTTCATCACTCAAGACTTGAGGTCTAAACAGATTTTACTTTAAGGTGGAGTATGTATAGTTACACCTTAAAATCTGATGTATTTGATTTACTGCAAAATTTGACAAACACAGCAATGTATGGGCTAGGAGGGAGAACTGGCTTTATGCCTACATAAGCAGGTTTTTTTTCTATCTTTTCTTGTTGCACCAGTGTAGGGCAATAAATCTGAAGAAATTTACAAGCTTACATGAAATTATGAGGTAATTAAGTTTCAGTGTTCTGGGTTCATGATATATCCTGCTAAACTTGCAAACACACGTAAGTCAATTCTGGGAAATACGATCGCAAGCTTCAGTGGAAACAAAAGCCTTTTCAGCTGGCTTCTCTTTTCTTGTGATCAGTTGCTATTTCTTAAGTGATGCAGATTTTTTTCCTTTTTAAATGCCTCTTGCAAGCATTTTTTCTTCTCATCTTTTATTGAGGAGTTTGAGGGCTTTACAAAGGAAGCAGAACCAACGACAGACAAGCTTCGTAAGATTTATCATATTGGAGGACTGAAATCACTGTAGCTCACAAGAACAACATTTTTCTTCCCTGTCTCTCTTTCTCCAAGTCTCAAAATGGTACCAACAATTCCCCACAATCCACTGGTGTTTTCCACTCTGAGGGCTGGAATCACAACTCCCCATTAAGGGACCACTGACAAAGGCACAAACATACCCAAAACTTCCAAAAGAACTTAAAATAGCTTTAAAAACTCTCCACACAGTTTTGATTAACCTAGCTTTTGATCAGACTGTTGTTTCCATGTTCCTCAGAGTAAAAAAATTAAAAAGTAAATCACATAGGAAACAAGATAGAGACAGAAAACTCTTAGAGCTCTGCAAAAATGAAGCCAGATTAATTATGCTATTACACATGACTTCTTGGGTCCCAAAGTAGAAAGAATACAGATTATAAATAGGTTTTGGTCTAATTAAAGGAATTTAACATAAGCACACCAAGAAGCTGGGAGAATCTTCAATATTTCAGCATGTGGAAAGCTGAATTCTAATTTCCACACATATAACCCAGGGATGCTAAAAGGAATCTTAATTTAAGAGAGGCTATGAGAGGGGAGGGAGTAGAGACTGTGGATTTAGGTTTCACATTCCCCTAAATCTACCCCTATATTCAGTTAATTCATTTATCTACAAAAAGATGCTACTTATCACTTGAGGACAGTTGTTTCAAGTCCCATCTGTAGTAGCTGTGGGTCCCTACTGAAGAAGAAACATTTTATATCTAATATTTATCAGTCCCTTTCTCCCTCTCTTTCTTTTTTCTGAAACTATACACTCTACAACAGGCAAAGGTTGGTTGGTTGGTTTGGTGTGGGGTTTGGGGGGTGGGTGGGTGGGTTGTTTTGTTGTTTTGTTTTTTAAAAAAGTCAGTTCAGTGTTTTAGTCTAGGCAATCCCTGCTTAGCCAAGGATGGAACTAGCAAAACCAGCTAGGGATGCTGCTGTAGTTACTTGGGAATCTTGCATCTGAAAAAGAAATGTAGTAACGAATAATAAACGCATTCTTTACTAATTAATCAACAGAGATAAACCTCTACAAGTCCTTCTATTTCTTATCTCCATTCAACAAAATAGTCTGATTTGAAACTATTAGGCAGTCCTCATCTTTTTACCCACTGTGCCCTCTGTGAGGCCCACAAACTCTCCTCCTTCCAAACAGATAATGAAATATGCTGACAAAGCTGACAGTGCTGGAGTGAGCAGATGTACATAAACAGAAACTTAATCTACTCAGTCAGGAGTAACAGGAAGGACATTTAACACATTCTTTAAAATTACTGTAATCAGGTAATACAAACATGCCAACATTCTTTTTCAGTTTAAAACTGCACTTTTTTTGCTAAACTTTTATTTAGATTCAGAACATGAAACAACAGGACTATTTTATATCCCTTCGCAGGGAATACATGCAAGTTTTAGAGGCACTTGTATGAAGACCAAATATCTACTGATGCAGTATCATCTGTTCTAGGCCACCTATACTTTAACAGAAAGCATGTGGTCAGTCTCCTTACCTCCTCCTCTCTTTCCAGCTGTGCTACTCTGAAATCCTTGGTGTTCCATAGAAGTTACTTTGCATTTGCGCTTGCCTTTAGTTACAGAATCACCCCTGGCACCCTGAGAAAAAACATGGTTCTGCAAGCAGCTCTGAACTGGTAACATTCCCAAGTAGCAGTGAACCTTTGGGTGATTTCCAGTGCATGAAGTCCAGCGGCATTCCGCTGTCAAGGTATCTCAGGACCTGACAAGCCACAGAGCCATTAAGACAGACAGGATTCTAGTGGTACCCTTAGGGGATTATGGAAAACAGAATATTCAATAAATCTACACTCATTCAAAAATACAAGCCTCTCTGGAGTTCACCTGAAATCTTCTAAAAGCACTGAGGATGTAACTGGTGGATTTTCTGAAGAGCCGCATAAGGCAGCTATTTAGTTGTATATAACAAAACTTTATTAATTCTGGAGTTCTCCCGAACTCCACAGAACACAGAGCTAGCTCATAGGCAGCATTAATAACTAAAATATGTAACCAGATCTTCATGGTCCCAGGAGGGCGTGAGGAATAAAAGGAGGCATTTGACTTTTGGTCAAAGCTAGCTGTATCCTATTCTTAGCAGAATATTGTTGCAGTGTATGCTTCCAAGCCTGCAAAAGGTATTGGAGAAAACATCTCCTTAGCTTGGCCTTCTCTCCTGCAGCAGTTATAAAGTGTCCACTATAGAAACTCTACCACACCTGGCAACAAATACATTATCTAAACCCAACAGTTACACTCCTCAGCTGTGCAGGAGAGCTATGGATGACACACTCATACCTGTGGTTTTAGAGGGAGGGAGAAAACTGGAAACTCATTATGAAGGAAATGCATACAAACATAAAAGTAGCATGTATATTTCAACTAAGTATTCTATATTTTAATAAAGCACCAATTTCATTATTCTTCATGGAACTTGGAATAGTTTCTTCACTAGCCCAAGAGAAAGCAAATCTCCCAAGCACAACACAAGTAACAATTGTCCTGTAGTGCATGTGAATTGTGAGGCAGCCTGAAATAACAACTCTAAGATATGAATTATGTTGCCTGTTACTCTGTCTGTCAGAATGCTACCTTCAAAATCCAATGTCAGCATAAGCTGTTGGTTTACTGGTCCCTGCAGTGGATGTCATGGCCAAAATGGTGACAATTCACAGTACAGCAAGGAGGTAAATAAAAAAAGAACAGAAGCCAGAAAAGGAACAAAAAGAGAATGGAGTTAAGAGAATGAAACTAAAGGGTAAAACACTACCACAAAGCTGAATGAACAATACATGAAATATTCAGGTTACTTGAAGTCAGTCTACACTTAGATCTTTGCAGAGTATTCACAGTGTTTAACTTTACAAGTTTCTAAGTTAACTTCCCAGAGCTACCTAAACAGAGAAAGAAAGATGCTCTTCTAGAGGGCAAGCTGAGTCAGGCTGCTACTTAGAACTGCTCTCTAAGGGGACCTGCCTTCTCCACTGACTGCACAGGTAACCCTGGAAGAGTACACTGAGCAGTCCTGACATCACCCAGCTCTTCGCTTCATGCCATAATCCAACTGACATCCGTGTTCACATGAACAAGAATTAACTGATATCTTCTTGTGCACCAACCATATAAAAGTTGGCCTTTCCACCAAGATTTGGACATCCTGACGCGTGCTAGCACTGACTACTCTCTTCAAGGTAATGCATTAAAACTTTACATATTAAGAGTCTTTTTTTTTTTTTAATTACATTTAAAAATATCAGATTGTGTCTACGCAGCAGAAGGAGCTACAAGAAAGGACTACTGAACAGGAAAAAAGTTCCCAATAAACTAAAAGCTGAGCAGTGCAGAAATGCAGATTTTTATTATTCTCCAAAATCTGGTGCAGAATGACATACATCTCAAGTTCATGTGTCCCTTTTTGGCCTAATCCCAACAACCAGTCTTGAGTATTATTCAGTAGCCGTTTGCCTTACTTTTTCAAAGGGGAAGCGTGATGAAGCAACTGACTATGCTGCTGCTTTACAGCACACAAATCAGAGCCTAAATGATTACCAAGGTATCTGTAACACACACACATATCTGTAACAAAGACCATCCGGCAGCTGACATGGAAAGCATAAGCCTCTGAAATATTTCATAGTGGCATGAGATACCCCACACAGCATCCATTAAAAAGGAAGAGATTTTGGTAGCTAAATTCCATTTAACCTACTTAATGAGCAACAGAAGACAGTTAAACCTTGCAATTTAATACCAGGAGGTGAAATTGCAGCTGAGGAAGATTATGATGAATAAACTATCATTAAAATTGAAACATAAGAACTCTGGAGCATGCCTAACTATACACCAACACAAGACCTCCCTTATCTTTTTTTGTGGTGAAAATTTAACAGTTCTCATTATGAAAAGGTTTCTGGAAAGCTTACTCACTCAAGTATACTTCAAGTAAACTCAAGTTTACTTCACAGTCACCAACATGACTCCTCCAGCAGGTACCATCAAGCCCAGCCTTTAAGAAGTCAGGACTGAGCCATTGCTGGCTGTGTGCGTGAGGTTCTACATATATGGCAAACTGCTCAGATGGGATAGCTGAAGATTAACTTCTGGGTAAAGATTAAACAGCATAATTGGAGCACTAAGTAATTGGTATTTTTAGCACAGTAGTGAGGAGTGATTTTTTTTTTGTGCAAGGTTAAGAATCTTCTGAAATGCAACTGCTCAAGTAAAAATACAAACATTTAAACTCAACTAGCAACAAATATTTCTGTCCACTGCTGTGGCATCCATGGTAACACTGCGGGCCGGAGAACAGATCACCAAAAGCTCAAATATTATTAATAAGCTTATTCACTCAGGCAAAGTACATGCTTCATACTCAGAATCTCTGGGAGGCTCACAGAAATTAGTCCTTTTCAGTTACATCCATTTGTTTAGGGGGTCTTCAGAGAGTGACTGTGTGAATCTGACCATTAACATGAAGTGTTCTTTAATTTTGGCTTCTGGGCCGATTTAGGACATTTCAATTCCAACAGCTGGAAGCTGTTAGAAATCAAAACCCCAAAGTTTGGATAAGATATGTTGTTATAAAAATCTGTTTTATAATCTGGACAACAAGCCATCACATAGGAAACCAATAAACAATGTAACAACACAGTTAATATATTCCTCACTGTTTTCCCAACTCAAACATTTACTTAGCTACCAACACAATAATATGTGTTAATGGTAGTCCCATGAGAAAAGAAATGCACTGTTTAAAAAAGTGTGATACAACTCTGTGATGTGCTGCCAGTGATTTAACAAGGGACTTTCACAGAAACATTTCAGCATAAGCTTTGATAAACACTGAATCTCAGAAAGATGTTCAAATCAGTAAGATAGCTGGCGAGAAATCTATTCATTTTTTTCCCCCATCTTTGCAAAAAATCCCCTTCACTTAAGTGCTTTTTCTCCCCTCCACTTTCATGTAGCTTTCTCTTTGCTTAAATATTGGCATTTTCCTCTCAGGTTTTATATCCTACCTCATTCCTCAAAATTTATTTAAATTATGGATTTCAAGTTTCACAGAAAGGTGTCTTTTAAAAATAGCTGGTATTAGGCTTAACTGGCCAACCCAGATGCAAAATAATTGTTCTTCAAAACAGTTTTCAGCCTCAGGAATAAGGTTTATCTATCAAGTATCATCTAATAGCAACATCAGAAGATATAAGTTCAATTCAATTCAATTCTTCTAAACCTCCCCTCAAATCTAGTGATAAATTAAATTTAAATGGAGACTGTTAGAAGTTGTATCCCATACATCATTCTCAAAACTAGCCCAACTGTGGAAGGAGTGGAGGGGAATGAAAATTACTACTTCTTTATCCTTCCAAAACTTCTCCCTTTGCTAAGGCATCAAGGATGAACTTTGCAATTTATTTGACAATTTGGAATTTCAATTGCATTTGCCAAAAATAAATCCTGTTTAACAAGTAGTTACTTGTCATTTCTAAACGCAGTCTGATAAGAGCAATATTAGAAACTCAAATTTATCTTCTTAATTCATTTACCCTCTTCAACACAGCATATTAAAACATATAAATAGCTTTAAAAATGTTTAGTGGACTTGAAACTTGTTTAGTCCGTATCTCCTCCTGTTTCATGCTGCAAATGTACGATGTCCAGTTACTTCTCTTTGAATCTCCTTCATTCTTTCAAACAAGCGACTAGAAAATATGTAAAAATGCTGCGGATGCAATCAAGTTTGCCGTTCCAAAGCCAGAAAGCTTCAGTTTTCATTTTGCCCAGGATGAGGCACACACAACAGTCACGATAATTTTAAAAGACAAGGATAACTCAGCTGTTCTCTCTGTGATTCAAGGAGTTGAACACAAAGGCAATTTTATACTGATGAAGCTCTTACCTCTTCTTCTTGGTGATAATGAGGACATCATTAAAGAGGAAGAAGTACACCTGCTGTTTAGAAGTTCTTTTAGAAAAAAGTCCAGTGTCTTCTACATATGCTGTTAATTCGCCCCTTTTCACTAACCATCGTGAAGAGGAAACCAATGGAAATGGCTACAAAGCAAGAAAAGAACGTTTTAATCCTTCAAAAGTAGAGGTTTTTAAAAATCAGGTAACAGACTACTATATATATTTGGGAAAAATGCTTGAATAAACTCAAAACTCAGAGATCATAAGTACAAGCACAAAGCAGAGGTTATCAAGGTTTAGGGTATCTTCATAATTCATGTAATACACAATTAATAGCCTGCAAATACTTGAAAAATCACTCATGCACATGACACAATTGTTCATCTAAGATAAAAATGAACAGACTTGATTGGTCATACTTGGGATGGAACAGACTACATGAGGTCTCCTAAGGAGATTAAAAAGACTTTCTTCCAGGAATATGTAAGTTTTTGTGGAATAAGCAGTCATTCTTTAAGGGCATACAAACACTGGATTTTCCTCTAGGTACCTCACAGCTTTTCTACCTAAACAGTCAGAAAGAAGAGCTTCAGCTTCTTATCTCCAACATGAGGACTACTGCAAACTCCATTTCATCACATCCCTCAGGGCAGCTAAAATGATGCTGTGCCTTCTTTCTAATGGTACATTCTGTACCACACGCAGAATAAAAAATATAAAATCCTTTAACAGAGAAATACACTGTACAACCAACTTTGAAGTACTCTGTATGTTAAAACAGACATAAACAGATACGGAGACAGCATACAAGATTAGATTGGTCCTAATACAGTACTGAACATTATTATTGAGATGTTCAGAGTATGCAGACTTTTTTTCCCCTTAAAAAGTAAGGTAAGTGAGGAATGCCAGAAGGCTTAGCAATCAAATGTGGTAACATCCATCTTCTACTCTCTAAATAAACTGAAGTTACAACACCGCTCTGAAAGAATGCGTAAAGCAGTATGTGATGTGTAGGGTTTGAACAAGCTGTCCATTTTAATGCCAAAACAGTTAACAGTTTGCTCATGACATCATAAATTCACCAGTGGTTTGAAAGACACGTCTGAAAGTTTTTAGAGGATGTCTCTTTAGATACCTGCTTATGAAAGGCCATATTAACAAATAACTGTCTTTCCTCAGAATGAGCTTCAGGAAGTTTTCCACATACTTGCTATTCTCATTAGGAGCTCTTGAAATATCATACAGTTATCTGTCCACTGTCATAGCTTTATTTAAGATAATTAAGGATACTATAACTCCTCTTACTCTCTACCTACCTACTTGATGTAGTTGAACTCTAGACTCTGTGGAGCAGGATCTCCATTTCTCTATACGGTGAGGACCGACACCTGCAATGGCTGAAGCAAGCCAGAGAGAATCATAGCTGCCTAATGTGAAGACCAGGCTTTATTAATCCAAATTATTCCCAACTGCGGGAGAAACAGACACCACAGAAGACCTTTTGTTTCTCTGGGCCACAACCATGAAGGGAGATGCAAGACTGCATGTCCTGGTCACACAGAGAACAGATCATCTCTGAAGCTGTACCACGACATACGACGCCAGAAAGACAAAGGTCCCTTGCGGCGCTGCAGCTGTCCCACTGACCAGGGTTCCTCAGTCAGTGATGTCACTGACTGTTGCTAGCACCGAACCCAGCAGAGCTGGTATGCGGGAACATTTTTTCCAATGGCACACAGCGGACAGATTATTTCTGCTGGACTGTGCTGTCACTAGGCAATATGATAAGCAAAGATACTGACCTCCTCTGCAGGTTTCACCCCTCATTGCTGGAATGACCTGTTTGGGTTCTAACTTGAATACTGAAGACGCTGGTACTTCTGTCTCTATGTACAAACTTTGGCTATCGCCCCCATGCTGGATAGGGCATCTGAAGATGCCTGGTACCTTCCCCCTGCTGGTACCGAAAAGGACTGGGCTCAGGGGGGGGTCACTTCAGCAAGGGAAGCCTGAGCTGCACAACCTGTACCTTACAGGTTCTCCAGCAGGAGGTACGTGCTGCCGCTGGAAAAGAGGAGGCATCCACTTTGCCCATGCTTACTAACATTTGTACCTAAGACCTGCTGCAGTAAATGGGTGCTTACTGCTAAATTTTATGGAGCTTATGTATTTTTACTCATCCCAAGCAAAATAACAGAATTTTTGTTTCTACTTTCAATGTAACTGGCTTTCTACTTATCAAACTTCCTCCTTTCTTTGCTGCTGTTCAAATTCATTATCCGTCTTGCATGATTAGACTAATGAAGACAACAGCTTTTTCCCCCCTCATTTAAAGCACCTTTCACATGCTTGTAAAAAAATATTTCTACATTCAGCTTGTCAAGCGGTCGTCTTCATTCTGCATGGGTTGTCTTTTATACCTTTTAATCACTTCAGCTGCCCTTTACTGAGCTAACTTCAACTTGTCAATACTTGCCCCATAGCAGTATGCCAAAACCAAAATGCAGTGCTTTGACTGTGATCTTGCTGTTGGAACCACAAATTAACAACTCCCTGATTTCATGTGCAGCCACCCCCTTGTTTTTGAATTCTAAGGTACAATTTTACAGTGACTCTGAAATGGCACACAACAAAAACAATTTTTCCAAAAATGCTTTTTCTGCCACCACGCAGCACTGCAGAACTCTCTTCCTCGTGCTTTCCCTTAGGAGGTAGCGTACTGATGGCAGATGAAGGTTGCTCAAAATTGCAAAGCATAGCAGCCCTCCGGAACTACTACAAATTGTTACAAATTAAAGAAGTCTTACACTTTCTACCTTGCCCTAGACTGATTTGTGTCCCAACATACCCAGAACAGACAGTAATGGATGTCCACCCTCACCTGGTACTTGAACAGACATCCACTGGAACATGGCCTTTGCTATACTGTAGCCCTACATCAGGTACCTTTCAAAACCTGTATTCTTTCAAAGTGACTACTGATAAATACCAACACATTTCATTTATCTGCTTTGATTCCTAGTATTTTTGCATTCATGCTACCAAGACAGTATTAGTGAATTGAATCTCGACAAAATTCCCTTTGGACATTTCTTCCCAATTTATCTAAGCTTACATACTCTGTTTTGATGTATATGACTTTTTTGCAGGCTTCTAGTTTTGTATTACCCATCAGTTTATTAAATGCATTTGCTATCATATACTCCCATTTGGAAATGCAGAATTTTGTTTCAAATCCATATTTCATAAATAGATTTTTATCCAAGTGTTAGTGAGTCAGAGTAAATCAATCTGGTTATAGATCACTGCAGCTTCAAGTTCGTTGATTGATATTGTCACTCATCTCAGATCAGTGGCTAACTTAAGACTTCTATCAATCCAAGTTTATTACTTTCTCCTAGGACTGTATCATGTAATTTTTCTTATGGGTGGTCATTTTGTTACAGACACCTCACAGGTTATGACAGGCCCATTTAGCTCAGTACGCAGACATGACACTCCCAGCGGAACTCCCAAGCTCCACCGCTGAAATCAAAGTTTTATATCAACATTCAGCTTAAAAATATTTGGCGTACTTTCAGTCAAAACTCTGCTGGTTCAGTACCTTCAAGTAACATGAAAACGAATTTTCTGAACAAATGGCTTTTACATTTCCTGCACTGCAGTAACAGCTCCATGTGATGATACAGGACCGTGAAACATCGGCCCATACCCTAACTGTGTGACACCATCGCGCTTTTTGTGACTTTACAAAATGGAAAGACTTTGAGCTAGATGGTCCTTGAACACAGAAGTCACAAACAAGTTTGTTCCATGAACACAAAAGCATGTTTGCAGAAAAAAAAACCCAACATGATTTTTTTCTGGTGCTAAAGATGAAAATTTAAGAATAAAAACTTCTGAATCTTAATTAAAAATCGAATGCTACAGATTAGCCACGTACAAGTGACATACTATCTGAGTAGCTTCTCTTGTACTCCCATGCAATACTCTACAGTTACATTTAATAAAATAAACAAAAATCGCAAAACACTCCATGAGGTTGAGCAAGAACAGAAATAGTCTACCTAATTTATAATGGTTATAAACCAGAATTATAGCACCATGATGATTGTTTTACAGACAAAAAGTACTTTAAAAATTTATATTTGAGGATGAACTAAGAATTCCTCTAATCTGTACTCCGAGTGAGTTCATCACATTTTCCTAATTGACTATGTTCCAGAGGCAGCTTGTTTTTATTTTAATATTAATTTTTCCTTAATTGCCAAAGAGAGTACATCATGTATACCATCTCCTTTCTACATAAAACAAGCTGTTGGAACTTAAAAATGTATTGAAATGTGGCCAAGCAGCCTTTTATATGCCAGCTGGCAAGTTCTCAAACCACAGATAGGTCTAAACCACTAAATGGTTGTATTTAAGATGCACAAAGGAAAAAAACCCCTCGCATTAAAAAAATACAGAAAAACAAAATACATGAAAGTTGCTATTACTTCCATGAAACTAGCGAGAGCTGCTAGTTACAGCATGTGCAGAGAATTATACAGGGCCTTTCGCTTCTGCAAAGTCGGGATCGATAGCGTGCATCCTCTTTCCGCGGGGAGAGCAAGAGACTACAAACCATTTAAGCACTTAAACACTGTTAGGTACTTCTGTAGATCTGAAAACTATGAATAAAACCACAAAGCGGATTGCCCAAGGACTTCAGACTACCCAAAACTCTATTTTAGACTCTCCAAAGACTTGATACTATAATCACCATGGTTAGCAAATGTAGTGATGCCACTTGTTAAGAAGTGTTTTATTTATTGTTGTTGTCGTCGTCATTTTAAGTAAATATTATTATTTTAGTCAAAGTTTGAAAATAAAAATACTTCAGACAAGTTGAAAAACTAGTTTTTGGAGACAGCATTTCCTCAAAGACTAACCAAGACCCTTTAAAAAACTGTGTTTTTAAAAACATGAACCTCTTCTTACTACATGTATGATAATAAACTCTTCTCACAAAAGAATACTCATTAGATAACAGTTTGAGACATTATTTACAGAAATGGTATTTTAACAAACACTGACTAGAAAAAAGTAAATGTATTTGAAGTATCCTGGAAGTACGCTAAAACCCCTACTAACTATGACTATGTCTGCTATTTTTTCCTACTGAAAAGTCTGATTGTAGAGGATTTTTTTTTAGTAAAAGCCTAAATTTTTTTAATAAAAGCCTATTTTCAGTACTAGAAAGAAAAAACTTTGGCATATCTCAGTATCCTAAGACTCTTTAAAATTATTTGAGTTTTAACAGCACCTGCACTTAGCAAGACAAAAGCTTGGGATTATTGAAGTGAACTGTATTAATAAAGGTGTAGTTTAGCTTAAGTAATTCCACCTACACTTAAGTCTGCTGTTGCACAGCTTGCTGTTCCAGGCAGGTATCGCGCGATTTTGGTTGCGCAGCTGATGCTGCCAGATGTGCTATCGTAGGCAAAGCAGGGTGACTCCTGCCTGCAGGTGTGACCGAGAGCCGCCGCACCCAGCTGTTGGGAAAGCCAGCTGGGCTGACGTATTTCACACCGCTGCCTCCTCGAATTCCACAGTGTGCAGCACTCTAACCTTCCCCTGCTCTCAATTGTCTCCCGCAAAAAGGATGACTCCTCAAACTGACAGTTTTTACAGCAGACTATCAGAATCTTGTAGAAATGGATCATAATTCTAAGAAACACATCCTAAGGTGACCAGAAACAGGCCTGTTTTTTTGTTTCATGCCACTGTAAATCCAGAGAGTCAAATACTATTAGGAACCTTCCCTGGCCTCTAAGTATTCACTTGGGCATACTTTTCCTATCACGTACATGAGAACATCTCATCACCAAGCAGCAGCAGTCGGCCTCTCTCCTAATGGCAAAATCTTCACAGCAACTTAACTTTGTCTTTAAGGCAAAGAATACTTAATTCAATATATATTAGAAAAACATTTTGCTGTAACATAACCCTTCTACTTAAAGTACTTGACCAATTTGTTTTTTATCCAGCCATAAGAGATCATTTCTTTGCAAGAATTACTGCGTGATGTGAAGATGCTACTGAAGTTCCACTGTTTACTTTATCAATTACAAATCCTAATTCACTCTTTAAAGAAAGACACGGTTGGTTCTTCAACCGCAGTTAGAAATCTAAGCAGAACTTCAAAACTACCTACAGCTCACAGAAAAGTCAATTCACGTGTGATGAAATTTATCAGACCTTGTTCACACACTGCCAGACAACATGCCAAAATGAGAAACAGAACTGCTTTGCAATGCAACACCTCCCCCAAAAACATTTCTTTAATCCATCCAGCAAGTTCCCACTCTACAAGAGACTTCAACAGATCAGTTAATTAACCAAGTGTACTGTTCAGTGACACGGCCTCCATTTGCAGCTGAGAACTGCAACAATTCTTGTACAAATTAGAAATGATGCTGTCCATTCTTCCGCTTTTGTTTTACATGAAGAAGAGAGAAAAAAAAAAACAATTCAAGGCCTGGCAAGCCTTGAGGAAATGGATGACAAGAAGGAGGGACACAGAGGCAACATGCGATTCTGCGTGTGAACGGTGACAAGACCATCACACACATTGTTATGAGTTACTTAAAACAGCATAAAACTGTGCCATGACTGATATTAGTAGGTACTGTCACTCCAACAGGGACAGGGTTTCATCCACAAAGGTAAATCCAGAGTCTGGACGCACCTCATTCTGCAGTAATTAATGCTAATTTATTCTTTTAAAAAAATATATAACCCAATACTCTTTCCCTGAAAAGCCTCAATTTGAAGCTTAATCTGCTTGGTTAGATGCGACAGCCCTTAGTTACTCTTTGAGTTCCCAGGGCTTCAGCAACGCCAGAACATGAACTTGTCCCCCCTGACTGAAAAGTCCTGTCAATATCACAGCATACACCAATTTACTTTGTTTATGCTGGCAACGAACCTATCAAAACTTAAGATGTAGTCAAAGCTATTCATATGCTACATGATTTGTGGTCAGAAACATCATCATCATACCTTGATTTTAAATTCCAGTTGGGAGTTAATTGTGTACATCATTTCTGTCCTTTCCATTTTCCGAGCACCTTCGTTGCATAAACGCACCAGCTAGAAACGAGACATTTATTTAACAGGTTTAATGTACTCAAGACTGGCAATACAGACTTTTGTTCCTTTATAAAATGCTCTTCTGGGGAAGCGTAAAACTCCAAAAGGAACTGACATTTTCACACTGGGTCACAGACATAACGCTTTCAAGACCAGACTGAATGCGGCCCTGAGTGACCAGGTTGGACTTGGTAGCTGATTCTGCCTTGAGGCTGGACTGGATGACCTCCTGAGATCCCCCTCAACCTGAATTATCCTATGATATTGTGATAATTATTTACTCTCAGGGGAGTCCAGATGGTACAAAGGTTCAGCCCAAAGCTCTGGGAAGAGTTCTAGCTCTCTGATCCAAGTTAATGACTAATTCCAAAATAAACAACCTTCCAGACCAACCCATCAGTGCGGCATGCTGCCATGTCTACCACGCACACCCAACTCATTCCAAAGCAAACGTTACAGTACCATCTTGTTAAACGAAGGCAAACAGTATCCCAGAAAAAGTTTTACTGCAGCTGACCTTCAAAATGCAGTTTTAATGCAGGCTATAGTTTTCCTGAAGTCTGCACGTGGGGGTGGGGAGCATGTAGAAACAGAGGAGCGAAGACAGAAAGACATGAAAATGCATTCCCCTTAGCCCTGCAACATCACACGTGGATTTCCCAGCCACCAATGGGCCTCTCCTCCCTTTATAATCGAACACTTCACACACCACGCGCTGTTCCTGCGGAAAAACCCAACTGTGTTGGCAGCAGTACAGTGCTGCCGAGTTTAGGGTATTTTCCTAAGTAATAAACAGACAGTAATTTAAGCATAAAAATGATCCCAAGAGGCCTTTCTTAAATGAAACAATTTAGTTTTTAATGCTTCAGTGCTCTTCCCGTTTGCATTATTTATGCATGGAAAACATCAATTTTTCCCTTAAAGTAGGCAAGAATGTTCAAGGCCCAAGGTAATGTCTAGCCCAACATGCAGAGAAAGATTTTTTGTTTTAATAAACAGTGCCCAGTACTTCACATTTCGCAACAGTCTATGATGCGCTATAGTTTCTGAAATTCTGAGATCTTGGAGGCAAAAAAGAGCCAGTCCTTATTAGATCTTTAGGTTTTCTTTTCATACCACAAAGTTCTGTTTTAAAGAGTTGTCTATTTCCAGAACATTAATATATTTAACAGATGGATTGGAATTTCCCACCAGTTTAAAAAAAAAAAAAAAATCAGTAATCTGATTACTCAGGTTCAAATGGAAGGAACCAGAATTTATTATACAAGTAAATGCTGCTGAAATTTACAATCTACACATGGCAGGAAAATGGACTTGTGCTCTTCTTCCACCACTGATTGTTGGCAAAAAAGCATGACTACAGGAGAAGAGAACAACTCTGAACAACTGACAAAGGTGACCTGGTTAACTTACAATAAAATAAGAAAGAATGCTTAAGTCTGCTTAGAAGATTCAGACTTTCTTTTCTCTACTGTCAGGAGAGTGTTTTGGGTTTTTCTATATTTATGGTCCACCATAAGGCTTTCTGTTGGAATGACTGGCAGCAAACAGAATACATTTGTCCAACTACACAACGAAACAAGCGAACAAAATGAGTAATAAACATGAGCATTAACTCTCAAGTGTCCTGGGTTTGGCTGGGGCAGAGTTATTTTTCACAAGAAGCTGGGAGGGGGCACATCTAGGACAGCTGGCCAGAACTAGCCACGGGAATATGACCCATACAATGTCATGCTCAGTCCGGAACTGAGGGAGCTCAGGGTGGGTGGGGGATGAGCATCAGGTTCTGGGTGGTGAGCAACTGCATTGTGCATCACTCGATTTATACATTCTTTTATCAGCATTATTGTCATTATTGCTACTTCTTTCCTTGTGTTGTCCCATTAAACTGTCCCTATCTCAACCCACAAAGTTTTACCTTTTTCTTCTGATTCTCCTCCCCATCCCCCTGGAGGGGGGAGGACTGAGCGAGCAGCCACGTGGTGCTTTGTTGCCGGCTGGGGTTAAACCACGACATCAAATGACTAACAAAAAACAAAAGCAGCCACTTCTCACGGTGGATTTTTGAAATGACAAAAGCATGCAGTGCAATTTAGGAAGGAGAACAGAGCAGAAAAAAATCTGCATCCAGATTAAACTTTTAAGAACACACCTTGCTCACTTCTTTCAGAGCTTGCTTGCAGTTCTCATATTTCGATGAATCCTTAGGAGTTTTCTGACAAATAGTCTGAAATAAAACGTCAGTTACTTCAGAGGACTAAGCAGCAGAGATTGTAACAAATACAGAATTTTATATACATATTAATTGAAATCAAGGAGGTGAAGTCACAGCTGTAGACTGGGATAAATGAGGGAACACTAGGACCCTTCTTCAGAGTGCTCTGTCACACTAAGGAATGCCTCCCTAGAAAGCTTTTTGGAGCACAGTGATGTCTGGCACCTCTTGGCCAACCTCCAGCCATGGCAGCAGAAGAGGCCGGCCGCATCCTTCCAGGAAAGGGAAAGTTTCTGCCATCTCGTGTCTCAACTTCTTGCAGACCACAATGAAATCCCATTGCAGCTGTGCATAACAGGTTCTTCCTGCTTCAATGTTAAGCTTTTCCTGGAAGTTGAAATACCCATTTATGTGCAACCATACTTGCAATAAGAAAACTGTACCAGATTCCTCTGTCTGACCTCTTAGTGGAAGGTAAGTATTTCCAAAGGAAAAACAGAAAAGGCTCTTAAGGCTACACTGTTATGTGTAACATGGAAAAATATACATAACAGTATTATTTTATTAAAACAAAAAAACCACACGGAAGGGAAGACGGCTGCAGCATCCAAACACAGAAGTGCTGGAAAGTAATGAAAAGTAAATCTGATCTATGACTTACACGACAGTTGTAAGAATAAACTGTCAATAGATACAAGTCAGAGGTGAAGGTGAAGCCCTACCAGAAACAGGCATTTTGAATCAATGACAGACCAGTTAAATCACTTTTTAGATTGAGAAACAAGAACATCATAAGATATTTCACATTAAATTAGTCTTTGGTTTAATTACATTCCCTCCTCTCTAAATGTAGTTAGAGCCGTATTTCTGGTACTGAAGCCTTAAAAATCAAGTTCACTTTGAAGTCTCAATAAAAGGTTTACACAATCATCTCCAAGAAAAACAAATAAACAAAACTGAAACAGTGGAAAATAAAATGCTTAGTTTGCTTGTTTAGATTCTTCTAGCTGAAGAGAGGAAGGAGGTGAAGAAAAGAAAAAAAACCCAAGAAGCAGAAGGCATACCTAGTGAAACACCAAAATAATACTGGATTATTATTCCATTTTTTACCTAGAAATGTACTACAAAGAAGAGAGTATTCAATGTCCATGAATGAACTAAGTAACTATCCAGATGATCAAACTCATCAGTGCACAATTTGCAAATATATAGGAGAACAAAATTATTAGTCCTGTTTCTGGATCCTACCAATGCTAGAATCTGAGCATGGATTTTTGGATGACCAAAACCCGACCACTATTGCTGGCTGTCCAGCTCATAAATGTAGTTCTAGCATCTTAACCAAAATGCCATGAGCCTTGGTGTGAACTCTGCTTCACAAATATTCACTTGCACTTCATCACGCTTCCTAAGTCACCCGGTAACCTGCACAGGAAGGGAACATCTCACAGCATAACACACTGCTGGGAAACGGAGTGTGTCAATACAGCTCCAGTCACAAACAGCTCACGTGCCCTTGAGAACGGAGTTCACTCTGCAGGGTTACACTGTGACCCTCGTAACTGAGGAGCTTAACAACCCTGTTCCTGAAAGTATTTACTGCAAAAGACCCTTACCTAATCTATATGTTAGAGAGTCTTGTTTTCTAAACTGCAGGGTTTAATTTTAATCCTAATACTATATACAATTTCTGTGCTAGGTTCCTCCTTGGTTTCAGGATCATTTTGACCCTTTACTGTACAATTTTTCTATTAGAATGTCTAAATATTCAACTTTTGAATGAGGTATCAGGAGCAGGAGGTACCCGTTGCAGTAACCAAACAAATGCTACAGCACTTCATAATCAATAGACCAGTATCTACAGCCCTGTACCTGGTGTAAACAAGAAGATACGAAAGACTGGGTTGAACTAGGAATGGAATACTAACATTAAAAGAACATGCATCAAAGAAAAACAGAAAAATAACTCTGTTCTTACATCCATCAGTAAGGGAAGACGAGTAACTCTCTGCATGGGAAGAATGAGGAAAGAGATCATTGGTAAATTCCGGCAATCTTCATGGGACTCAATCCGTGATAACACCTCTTTAAATGCTGGATTTGTGGCTCTGGTGGGAAAAACGGGGAGAGAATTAAACAGTATGTTTTACCAAAGAATTGTGACAGCTTCTAGATTTTAAATAAATCATAATTTTATTAATAGGAAAGTGTGATTTGAAGGAGTCATACCAACTAAACCTTCAGCTTTATTTATGTAGATATGCAAGACCAGTACTGAGATTTAGAAACCTCAAGTTCTCCCATACATGACCGTGAGTGCAGACAGACTCATACGTAACAAACAAGGAAAGTATACCTTGACACTGATTAAGCTGTACTTACCAGTGGAAAGGGAACGTAACACATGACCACAAATAGGATTGGACTATGCAGCCAGCCACACTGTCACTCTTGATTACTTCAAAGGAACTTGTGTACATGCAGAAAAGCTAAGCATGTAAGTACATGCTTAGTTGGAAGCCATAGGTTTTGCACAGCCTACTACTCACTCCTACTACAAAGGGGGTGATTTTGCAATTGTATTTTAAAATCAGTACTTACAGTAATTTCTGCAGTGTTCGCTGCTGATAGACTTCATTGGTGCAGTATTTTACATATGGATCAAATGTTGAAGAAGTATGCTTTTCAACTATATCACTAATATCATCAATAAAGATGTTGTTCTGATGTCTTGCTTCAAGTTCTTTAAAGAACCTGTGAAAAAAGAAAATAAATTACTCAAAAAAAATTAGCATATTTTCTCTCGCAACATTTTACACTTCACCTGACGCAACCCATGACTTTTGTAATAAACTAATGACAACTTGAATGATTTGTGAAAGGGTGACATCATCTCTCCTTTGGCAGAACAATAAGGGAAATCTTTACACGATAGAAGTCAAAGGCTGCCAGTGTCACCTGGCAGAGCTCAACATAAGCAATGCTGGCAAAGTTACTTCCCATTCTCTAGCTGCCAAAACCAAAACAGCATTACTGATCTGGTTAGACTAGAATGTCCAGAAACAGGGCTGAAAAAGAAAGGAAACAACTTCAAGCTCACATTAACACATTTCCTCTTGTAATAAAGGATGTACAAAACCAGAACATTCAATGAAATGAAGTTATGTGTGAACTGCTGAACTAACAGCAAAAAAACATACAGCAGGCTGGGCTGGACAAGGTGCTCATGTACCAAATACTTTCATCTACCACTGAAAACAATCACCGACTGGAAACAGTGAAAATGGGAACAGAAACCAAATTCTGAGCTGACTTTCTCCCCTAAACAAGCTTGTTCTAAGAACTTCCCTATTGTTTGTCCTCTTTCCACATGTGAGTCCCTTTGGCCTCTGAAAACTTTCCACTCCTTTTTGCATTTCTGATTTCACCAGGAAAAAAAGCCTTTTTTCCTGTGATGCTCATTAGAAATATCTTACTATTTGGGGTGTAAGAGCTCACACAGATCAACTATTGCAGGTCACTAGAATTACCTGCACTGACACTCTGACATCAGTGTAATCCTTAAAAATCTAGAAGCTGCTGAAAATCTCATATACTAGTCTTGCCTGCAGCCTTTATACAAGATGATTCACTAGAAGAATCCTGAAGTCCCTAGAGTAAACCAGCTAATAAAAAAAATTCTTGGAACACATCATCTCACATCAAGCTAAAATATTTTGAAACATGGTCTATTTTATTTTGGTCCTTTATTACATTGTCTCATTACTAACACTGGCTCTTCAAAATCTGTCACTTGCAGCATTTCATTTTTATGTGCTGCACCAATATTCTCTATAGTTTGTCTTGCAAACGTCAAATGTAAGAAGAGGAGAACAGGATGAACAGAAGCTTATCATACACTGTTTAACAACATGGGTTAACTAAATTAGGATTTTTTTCCAGGTGTGCTTAGAAGCAGCTGCCCAAATTGAGTGGTTGCCAGATTCTCACTTGGTCAATCACAGTCAAAAGAATCAAGGCGGGGGAGTTGTTTTGGTTTGGGATTTTTTGTTTGGTTTTGTTTTTTAAAGTTCTGATACATTAACTGCAGATTGAACTGACGTTTATCAATATTACCATTTAATGAAAAACAGGACACTGCCTACAAATAGATATAATGCTGCCTACTACAGTGCACAGTTTTCCACTCACTCTTCCCCTTTAAGTGGTGCAGCAGTATTTTTTAATAGCCTGCCACATTTGGAAGGCAGAGTCTTCCAGCATCCTTCTGTCCTCCACCCATCTTATTTCAAAGCACAAAATATTTCAAGCTGTCACTGAGTTGTATTATGCTACGTATTTGGTTTTTTTAGTATCAAGAACAGTACTAGTTGGCAAAGCATACTAAGTTGCTATGCGGTCTCATACAATACATGGACAAATACTAAAGTTAACAGTTGCCTGAAATTTCACTGGGGTCCAAGAGGTGGGAGGGAAGGAAAGTCTCCAAGTCACACAGTCTACAATTTCTCATGAACCACAACAGCCAGATTTCAACTGCTGACCACCAAAAACCGCAGACAACTGGAATTCGTTTCTGCTCTACTCAAGACATTTATAGTTGGGAGAACTTCTCAGCATGCTGCCAATTTACTTTCCTCAGGAAATTAGGAAATACAACATTTCTTCCTGCCGTATGTTATGGCATGCTGACGAGGTGTTTGACCATGCTGGGCTAGAACTTCCACTTTTAGAATTTATCTGGTGCTTCATCAATGACATCATCAGTCACAGTCATTGTAAGGAACAGTAAAAATCTTGTTTGGAGAGTAGAAGATTTAAAAAAACAGAAAAAAAGAGGGGGCAGAGAGAAGCAGCAAACCCAAGTCCCATCCCCCACAACATGTACTACAAGAAATATTACCTCTGGAAATCATGCATCAAAGCTTGAATCAAAGGTTGTCTTTTTTTGCATCCAATCTGCTAATTACTATATATAATCAGTGAACCACACACATCATAAAAACTTCTTACTTAAAATTTTAGGACAGATTCTGTCATAAAGATCAGTGATTGAGTGATTACATTCAATTTAACCAACTACAAATTAGTAGTTGCAATTAGTTGTGCTGTATGACTGGCTTTTTTTAGTTAACACCAGAAGGATTTATGTAAAACATTTGTTTCCGTTAAGTCTGGAACTTTTCTGGTTAAAGTTAGATCCAATTAAGTGAAAGTCAAACAGCATCATAAGACAGCATTTGATTTCCCTCATCTTGCCCTTATGTTGTGCAAGAGAAACATCCAATTTGTAATACTCTAAAACTCCCCCTCCCCTAAAGGCTACGTGCCAAATTTAGAAATGCAGGTTTAATTAATTTCCTGTTTGTTTCTTTTTATAGCACAAGATGTAGAAACACTAGAGATTCTCACCAACACTGGAGTTTGCCCTGTCTTTATGACAAGAGTTTCCTCCTTGAACTTTTGGTGTTAAGGGTTTTCCCATGTCTTTAGGCAGATCGTTAACAAGCTGGTAATCACGATCAGGAACAACGTCCTAATGCTTGCTCAGGCAATTTTCTTCAGCTATTTTTTCCCATTCATCAGCACTGTGTTAATCAATGACTGATATCCACAACTTTCTCAAAAACTCTAGTTAATTCAGCTGTATAAACACAAATGCACAGTGGTATATGCACAGTGTTATGAACTATTCCATACAATTCACCTTTAAAAGGCCTAAATTACGTCTCATTTACAACTGCAAAACTCCCATCAACAAAGTTCTACTCAAACAGATGCCATAAAGAAATACACAAAATAAATGCCTTAATATCAATAATTTTGATCCACATTTCTTCTCAACATTTACTTTCCCTTCACCCCTAGATAAAGATATTAACTGAGCAGGACTTACATTCTTACGAATATTGTATCTTGCTATCTGGATATTCCAAAACTAGATTGCACTGGATTAAAAAAAGTCTGATTAGGCAGGTAAAAGAGACGTTAACTAGGCAGGCCAAATTAGAGTTAGAAAAACAATTATTTTATGGAATCAGTTATTATCTGGGAGCAAAAAGCATGCAGAATCAAATGACAGGACATAAAAGGAATATACAGAAAGGTCGGAGGTACTGCAAAAAATCTAAATAGTTCATTTACATCAAGGGTCACTATAGAAGAAAACTGATACCAAAGCCTTTTTTGTGAGTGAGACTGGGAACGAACAGACTTGGTGAAGTTCTGTCTGAAACTGAAGTAAATGTGGAACACCAGAAGTTACCAGAACCAGGTGATCAGCACCCAAGAGAGCTAAGAGGAAAAAAAAAAATTGATAAAGTTACTATGAAATCATTTTATTCTGTTTGCAAAATGACAGAATACACGTAATAGCATTACCAGACTGGTGAGAGGGCCAGATGGTATAATGTCATTGCAGTTTTCTATACAGGTTACATAGCACTCATAGAATCAAGGTTCTCAAACATTTATGACTTTTTTCCTACTCCTTACAGTACTAATTTTTTGTCTCCTTGCGGGTCCATGCAATCCTCTATTGCTCACCATTCTGGACAGTGCTATTGGTCCGCTCTGTCAATGAAAATATCAGTCCATCACCATCAAAGCCATTCTGTATGTGGAAGTAACCTGTGGTCTGGCTTGTAGATCACTTATTTCAAAGTTCATTATTATTATTATTGCTTAATGTTTTCCAAGTTATGATGACCTGTGTATCTGGCATAAAGAAGATTATAATGCAGATTTAGCTTCGTAGGGATGTTGCTGCTGACACACTACTATCCAGTAAGAAAAAGCAGCCACTGGAGTGGAAGCAAGTACAATTTAGCTTCCTCCTCTTAGAGATAAGGAACTGGAAAAACAATTACCAATTCCAGATAACTCCAGATAAAAGTCATAAAAAAATTCTGATTAGCCTCTCCAAATCTGAATCTTCTCATCAGGAACAGAAGCTTAACATCTGCATCACAATTTTTTTTATTTTTTTTTTGGGGGGGGGGGGGGAAGTGGGGCAGGGAAGAGAGGGAATTTAAAATAGTAAAAATGGGAAAAATTACAGCCTTATTTTTATGCTGAATCAGAGCTTTTAGGAAAAGAATGGCTGAAAGGAGGGTGAATCAAGTGAGGGACTGCATCCACAGGTGTTTGAAATTAATCAGTTTGTTACAGGAATTACCACAATCCAAATAATGGAAAACAATACATACATCCACATATATTTATAACACTAAACACTGCAAAGCTAACAGTCCATAAAAATACCTTTTATTAGGCAATATCCACTGAGCAACTACAAAGCCAAACAAGGGGGGGAAGGAGGAAAAAAAACCCAAAAAACAAAACAGACAGACCCTGACGGCCTATTCGTTTATTCTGCAACAAACTGGAACAACTTTCAGCAAGCCTACCCACAAGTAACTATCCTAACGGCAAGTCACTTGCCTTTTCAACTATTTGTAGTATTCTGGCAGGAATCCAGAACAATAAAAAGGCCATGGCAACCCTGCCAATATATTCTGTTACAGCGAGATTCTTCAGATAGCGGGTAAGTGCTCATAGCATCTAGTTCAATGGTATGCATTTCAGAAAAACAAATCTTGATTCAACCAATTAATACCCACTGACAAACGAACCCACAAAGACCACTCTGTGGCACTAGAAATGTAAATCTTTTTGATAAATTATGGAGACATCACAACAGGAGTCCTCATTTTAAAAACCTTTCCCATGCTGAACAAAGTAATGCTTTTTGT